CCATGTGCTTTCGCGCCACTGCAAGCGCAAGGGCTCTGGATAGATAGCAACCTGAGGAGTGAGGGTTCTAGGACCGGACCCCGGACCCGGCCCAGGCTATAAACTATTATATATATATATTAATGTGTAGGAGTACAGCAACGAAATATATATATATATATATAGACACAGTGTTTCGTCCTATTAGGACTCATCAGTATGGCTCAAATATATATATATATATCAAATTCAATCAACGCATATTGATACTTTGTGTGTAATTTCTTCAATGCAAGTTTGAAATATAGTTTAGTAGTACAAACTTTACTATTTTTCAACTTGACGAAATTTAATTTTATAATGTCGATCGCGATTTCTGTTTTATATATTTCTGTTTTATATATTCCTGTTTTATATATTTCTGCATATATACTTAAAGTTAATACTATAAATAAATTGTACCTGGTAAGATAAAAAGAGGTAGGAAGTTAAGGGCAAGTATAGGATAGTTGACAGGTTTCATACAGGCAGGTCTAAAGGGAGTTTGCAGGAGTTTACCGTCTATAACCTCCAAGCAAGGCAGGGCAAGATGCCCGTAGAACGTTTGGTATATCGCGCTCCCTGTCCGCATCAGCGATACAATCCCGATTATCACTGACGTTCCGAAAAATGATATAGCTGGGAAAGCAGTGGTTTAAACAATTTAGATAATAAAGTGTACTGCGTTTCAACCTTATTTATAAAATGAAAGGTAACTTCTAACTAATATTGAATTCAAAAGCACAACTTAAAGTTAAACTTCATGAACGAAAGCATCAAAGAACGGACTAACCAAAAGAATCAGATTCCTTTGAGTAACATTTCCTCATCATCTCCACGAGATGCCAGAACAGGAGTCGGACAGAAAGAACGGAGTAGATAGTATTCCTCGTTAACAAAAACCAAGGGGTCCCGGAATTTTGGGTGAGGTAGTTCTCGATATAGAAATACTCAAGGAACATCTCCCCGCAATCCTCCAAGAGGAAGCTAACACAATAACAAAGGTTTTTAGCGTCAAATAGGGTTACTCTATCACTCTTGTTGCGTAGGATGTGTAGACTTATCATTACTTTTATCACGCCCAAGAATGCAAAGGCGAAGATGAAGTTGATGACCCATTCGTTGCGGTAGATATGTTTGTTGATGACTTCCCCCATCTCGAGTCTATACCCCATCAGGAAGTCCATGTAGACATCGAACACGTCAAACAAGGTGGAAAATATCGTGAGAAAGTAAACGTTGAGGAACAAAACTGAGACTTTCCAAGCAAAGAGGAGGACTCTGCAAAGACATCTAAACAGCAAACTTGGACCCAGAGAAAGTGGGGAACCCCTTCCTGAACTCCTTGTTTAGTCCAGGGAGGAGCAGATACAGTCCGTATAGAGAGATGAGAGATGACATGCCCGACGGGGAAGAAAGTAATGAGGAGCCCAACATGTCGCTCCATTCTGGGTACCCAGCACTGGGTGATGTTACATATCTCCTGATAACCCTGCTCTGTTTCTATCCGGACACACCCCGGACAATCTCCGCTCTCCTCCTCATCATCTGTTAGTGTGGGCTCCGTGTGATCGTCTTCGTCAGCCTGGTCAGGAACAGCCTCTAGGTCTGAGCTATGTTCGGTGAGAGCTTCATCTGGAGGTGCGGTTGAAGTAGGCAGGGCTTCAGTAAGTGGTAAAGTTATTTGCTTTTCTGTGGAAACAGACTGGTTGCGATTATTGGACGGCTCATTTGTTGTGTTCTGCTTGGAAGGTTTCTGAGTCAGATTTTTGTTCTCTCCAGATAAGCTGGTCACCAATTTCTCGTGGGTCAGATTGCGACTATTTGCGGTAGTGACATTGGAGCCAGCTGAATTATTAGGATCTACAGTTGCTGCTGGTGGTGTGACCTTGTTAAGTAAATCAGAGTTCACAAAATCTCCCTCTTCATCCTGCTGACCAATCTCCTGCTCACCTATCTCCTGCACATCAATCTCCTGCTCACCAATCTCCTGCTCACCAATCTCCTGCTCACCTATCTCCTGCTCACCAATCTCCTGCTCACCAATCTCCTGCTCACCAATCTCCTGCTCACCAATCTCCTGCTCACCAATCTCCTGCTCACCAATCTCCTGCTCACCAATCTCCTGCTCACCAATCTCCTGCTCACCAATCTCCTGCTCATCAATCTCCTGCTCACCAATCTCCTGCTCACCAATCTCCTGCTCACCAATCTCCTGCTCATCAATCTCCTGCTCACCTATCTCCTGCTCGCCAATCTCTGCTCACCAATCTCCTGCTCATCAATCTCCTGCGTCTGGTTGTCCTCCTTATTTTTCTGAGGTTGAGTTATAGTAGGAGTAATTTGAGGATGTTTTCTCTCAGTTATACCATGATCAGCAGGCTGGCCAGTTTTAAACAGTTTTGTTGTACTAGACGGTGTGACATCCAGCATTGAAGTGGTGTAGTTTTCAAAACTACTTGTGGATAGGGAATTAGAAGAGGAGAAGGAGAAGGTGGTACCACTGTGAGATACTGGAGAGGTGGTTTTGGTTGTTTGCTCATTCAAAGCTCCGCTCTCAACTTTATCAGATACTAATTCTAATTCTTTATCTTTGGAAACTGTCAGAATTTTGTCTTTGTTGTCCGAGTTTCTTGGTGGTGTTGAGATCAAGCTACTTTCGCTACCATTTGAAGCTGTAATCTGTAAATCAGGCACTGTACCTTTCTCGATCTTTCCTTTTTTAGTTTTAACTTTTGGGTTATTGGCAACGAGTCTTGGTTTTTTAGGATTGCTCTGAACAGAAGTTACAGAAGTAGACGAGTCACTAAAATGCTCAGCTATTGCCTTTTTTTCACTTGTACGTTCTTCAGCGAATTGGTCTACGTCTTGTCCGATAACTTTATCATACTGTATCCCAGAATGAGGGACTGGGGTGTACAAATCGTCTCCTTTTGTTCGTTCTGACTGAGAAAAAGGATAATTCAGAATGGGCCTGTTTGATACGGAGTACGGACTGTTTATTGTTTGATATGGGACTCTGTATCGATGCTTGCAAGATCCTGCTTCAAGACCGTAGAAATGAATTTCGGAGGTAAATGGGATGATGTTTTTATCATCCTCAAGTTAAGTATTAATTTAGGAATGGTATCGGTGGGGGGGGGGGTTCACTACACCTTTTAACACCATACAGATCTGGTCAGTGTGTATGGGGGGGGGGTTCACTACACCTTTTAACACCATACAGATCTGGGGGGTTCACTACACCTTTTAACACCATACAGATCTGGGGGGGTTCACTACACCTTTTAACACCATACAGATCTGGGGGGGGGGTTCACTACACCTTTTAACACCATACAGATCTGGGGGGGGTTCACTACACCTTTTAACACCATACAGATCTGGGGGGGTTCACTACACCTTGTAACACCATACAGATCTGGTCAGTGTGTAAGTGGGGGGGGGGGTTCACTACACCTTTTAACACCATACAGATCTGGCCAGTGTGTAGGGGGGGGGGGGTTCACTACACCTTGTAACACCATACAGATCTGGTCAGTGTGTAAGTGGGGGGGGGGGTTCACTACACCTTGTAACACCATACAGATCTGGTCAGTGTGTAAGTGGGGGGGGGGTTCACTACACCTTGTAACACCATACAGATCTGGGGGGTTCACTACACCTTTTAACACCATACAGATCTGGGGGGGGGTTCACTACACCTTTTAACACCATACAGATCTGGGGGGGGGGGTTCACTACACCTTGTAACACCATACAGATCTGGTCAGCGTGTAAGTGGGGGGGGGGTTCACTACACCTTTTAACACCATACAGATCTGGTCAGTGTGTAAGTGGGGGGGGGTTCACTACACCTTGTGACACCATACAGATCTGGTCAGTGTGTAAGTGGGGGGGGTTCACTACACCTTGTAACACCATACAGATCTGGTCAGTGTGTATGGTAATAGTATAATAGTGTAAGGTAATAATATAAGTTAAGAGGTACATCCCCTTTTTCCTCGAGCTAAAATTTTTAGTGGTGACTGGTGGCGCCATATTGTCATGCTACTCACGGGACGGGTTGGCATTTAACAGCTCAGGCAAGCCTAGGAGTAAGGGGATTTCAATTCATTTTTACACCCTGAATGATTGTTTGACTTTTTCCCAATTTTTTTTACAAGGCCATTTACAGGTGCTCTCCGAGTCTAAAATTAACATAAAGTTCTGAAAATTTTCCGGAACATATTCGAAGTACGTTGTCCACCCTCCAGAAATACGTATTCGAACGCCGTACGTTTGTAGGCTACAGAACATATTTAACATCATTGATGGTATCGGACTATCATGATTACCTGATGAAGAAGTAAGATGACAATGATGAAGCCTGAACAGTTTGACATGTTGATAATGCAGAAATAACTTAAAAATAGAACTGAAAAACTCACATCAAGTGTTACGTGGAAAAGCAAGAGAATTGTGAAGCTTGAAGATCAAGTTTCTGATTTCTAGAATGTAATGTGTTTAGAAATTTAAACATGTTATCTGTGTTGTGATCATCACCAGCTGTGTGCTTGTACCACGTGACATGATAACAAGTCACGCGACTAGAATACTTCTCTCTGATTGGTTAGTTTTATGATAAGAAGGTAGCGATTAGCCTTGTGTATTCACAACCATATCACGTCACTAAGCTGTATGTGGGGTGACATATCCAAACCCTGGATACATGACATTAATATAGCACTTTTCTTAACAAACTTACATCAAGACAAATCTAAAACAAGATTTAGCCAACTCCGGCAACGAAGCTGGTTTACGTGTTGGCGACAATAAAGAAGCCCCCCCCCCCCCCCCCCCCCCCCACACACAAGGCCCCCTCACCACATTTCTGCAGGTCCCTATTTATTAACACAAAATCCCCCCTCCCGGCCCCCAGAATAACATAGATTATAGACCAACTTGTTGTTACTAGTAGTGAATAAGTAAAACTCATACCGTAAAGTCATTAAAGACAGTTCAACTGTACTGTAAATAAGAAGTACATTGTCCACACACTCCATATATATAATATAAAGGTCAAATAATTCACCAGCGACTCTTTGCAATCTTTACAGTAAAGTTCTCCATAAGAATAAGTTCCAATCACCAGTGATCCAAATAAAAGCCAACAAATATAATCTTACTGTCACCAAGATGTAACTAGGTCGAACGGAAAAATTAGGTCTCAACTCTCAAGCAGGCGCGGCTATTTGTATAGCTTTCCGTTCGACCTAGTTAAATCTTGGTGACAGTTATGAATTTTCAGATTTAGTAGATCACAAAAAGATCTATCACGGGGAGAAATTGAAAATTAAACATAAACTCTAGTAAGATTTGAACATGTATCAGATGGTCCCCACACCTCATAATTATAAATTTAGATCACCTGATCCAGAGTCTACAGTTAACCGACACATAATTTATAATAATTTATCTTTTGTGAGTTACTCAGCTAATTCCGCTTTGTTTTCCCACTATTTAAATTAAATCAACAATGAAACTTGTCAAACTCCCGTTCTTACCGATTGTGATGAACTCTCGTAATCAAACAAGATTTTTTAACTTTCCGCAAATTCCAAAGTAAAGAAAGGGTCCAACCATAAAGGAAACACAATAAACATTAATAAATTCCTCTCTGAAGTGTATTATAGAGGCTTCATGTTTCACTTTAATTATTACTACAGATTAAGAGGAAGCAGCGAGGTATTTAACCAGGAAGCTCTTAACATCCATGAGCTCTCTTGGGCAGGATGTATGACCCATATTGTCGTACTCCTTCATTTCTACTTTGGAGTGGAATTGCTGTATCTTTTGGAACGACATCTGACCAAACCTGGTGGGAAGAGGGGAGGAGTAACTTTACACCATCAATTAGGGCATTCTACAGAGAGTCAACATATTATACGATAATAAGTCTCTAACCCTGAACTGTGCAAGATGTTAACATTTAATAATCTAACCTGAAGTCTACAACTACATCAGCTTTTCCATGGCACATTATAACAGGAGTAGTTGAGTTCTGAGCTGCAGCTGAGGCTGGGAACTCGCTGTTCAGGGGCAGGTAGCAACTGAGTCCTATTATTCCTGGATAAACAGTGTTAAGATATTATGGTAAATAGACTACATCAGCAAAACAACGAGCAAACTCCAGGAAATTCACATTCTTTAAACTAGCATTCTTTAAACTATCGCTCTACCTCCGAGTTGTTTCTTGTAAGTGAGTCCCGCGTACAGAGCCACAGCTCCCCCCTGAGAGAATCCTCCCACAAATATCTTATCAGAAGGAACAGACTTCTCCTCGTCTGCTATCAGCTGGTGCACATGTGCCACACTCCCTGTGTACGTTACATGTCATCTTAGTGGTTACATGTTATCTTCAGTATTTATATTTTCGAGCGCCACTTGAAATTGAACTGGTCTTTATTGATATTTATGACGGTTAAGTGTTAACACTGCTGCTTGTAGCGCTTTTGATATTTTATGACTAATGATAGATTGAAGTGTGGTAGCATTAACTGAGCAATTCTACTCACTCATTATGCCAGTTTTATCCTCTTTGTCGAATTCGCTGAGCGAGGTTATATCATACCAAGCCGGCATTCTGAAACATTATACTTTATTGTTCACTGAAAACCGGACATTTCATATTTAATTACCGCAGCCGTCTAATAAAAGAAGTACTGGGATGACGGCACTCCTATTTAATGGTTTAATGAAGTCCAACTTGTCCAATCCTACGGCCGACCGTCGCGTCCTCGATATATATAATATGTCTATATCAAGGGCGCGCGCGTCTCCAGACAAATTACTGCGCGAAAACAACAAAACTTTCGTTACATTTTAGTCGTTCAGCGACCGCGGATTTACTAACTCAGTAGAATAATCTGTTATTTGGGAAGACTCTCCACAAATATTCTCTTATTCATGGAACGCATATTTCTGAATGACACAGAAGACTTGTAATCACATGGAATCCATAAGTACTGCGCCTCCCAACATATAATGTATACCGCCCAGAACAGTTTTGCGTGCCAACAGGCGGGGATCAGAAAGAAACAAACCTCATGCCCATGTTGATAGTGACGGGGATAGTTGACGCAGTGGGGCACACAAACTTAACATTATCAACATTGAGATCTTCCCCCATTACTTGAGACCAGCCATGTCCTGTGTCTCCCAATCCGTGTAGAAATATAACTGAGGCTGAAAATGTTGGGTGTTAATGTTGTTAATGTTGTTAATGTTGTTAATGTTGTTAATGTTGTTAATGTTGTTAATGTTGTTAATGTTGTTAATGTTGTTAATGTTGTTAATGTTGTTAATGTTGTTAATGTTGTTAATGTTGTTAATGTTGTTAATGTTGTTAATGTTTTTAATGTTGTTTATGTTGTTAATGTTGTTAATGTTGTTAATGTTTCATAGCGGAGTGTGTATAATTTCTGTTATTGTGTCATACGTTTTTGTTTGATACACCACAATATCACGATCTTTAAACTAGGTTTCACTAACTTGGCTCAATAGACTGGATCATCGCTATTTTCTAAAGCAAAATTTCTTCTTACATCCACTTTAATAACATTCTGCTTTATATTAATTGTGCATGATGCCCTCGGACTAATCAAGCCTAGAAACTGTCTCCTTTATTGTTAAAACACACTGACCTAGCTCCCTCATTGTTATTTTTCCTTTGTTGGTGCATTAATTTATTAATTTGAAGTGAAGAGGCTCTTACCCATTAATCTTGCTAGAGGTGTTTTTATTATAAAGTAAAATTAAAAGTCTGCAACCATATTCAGTTTCAAAAAATCATTGGTTTTTGACTGAAAAAAGTTGTAAGTAGGCCTCAAAATACAATTTGTACCATTTTAGGAATGCTATCCAAATCTCACAAGCAAACAAGTTTCTCAGATCGACCTGTGACGATTGTGGTCGAATTTACTGTGACAGTTATGAGCTTGAGCATGCTTGAAATTCATGATCGTGGTCAATCACATGTGACGATGAAGATTCAACAGGACACAATATATCCACAATATCTAGTTACACGTATGTTATTAAAACCAGTCAGCCATGCCGACTAAATGTTTAAATTAGCTAAATGTTTAAATAACGATAACAATAATATTTACCTTTATGGGGTCCTTTAGGTTGTATTACAATAGGCGGTGACATGTCTGCTGATAGAAAAGTTTTGCTGATACAGCTCCCAATCTTGATTTTATCAGGGGTAACACTTCTCAATAACTTAGATAATCCAGTCCTTAACATGCAATGACCATTTACAGGGACCTAGAGAGAGTTAAAACTGTTAGAATGTTCAACATGACATCTTCAAAACATTGCATACAATTTATTTATATAAGATTACAATTTGTAAACTACTACTAAAGAAGAGTCAGTTATCAAACCAACACCAGCTATTAAAGAGTGACTGCTTCTGAACACCGCACATACCAGAACATAACCAGGACCACGGTAAAATAAAATCATCTTAGGGGGGCGCAAAATCGTCGTTTGAATGTGGGACAATTTTGAAAAACTTAATTGAGGTACTAGCAAAACTGCGCGTTTTGCTCTAGAAACACACTTTAATAGAGATTTTACCGGAGTATCCTCTAATATCACCTAATTTGTTCAATTTTAGGGAGGGGCGCCAAAAGGGGAGGGGAGCAACAGGGGGGCGCATTTTCGGCAGGGGGCGCCAACAGGCAACGTTACGCCACTGACAACATCAGAATATTCTTTAAAGAAAAGCAGCTTATCAGCTTTAAAAGCAGTTGTACCAACCCTAAATAACAAAGCCCAGAGTTGAAGTCTGTTGCAACTTACAGTAAAACGTCGATTTACCACAGAGTTTGGGGGAAGGAAACATCTGTGGTAAATCGGGGGTTGCGGTAAATCAGGGTTTTGTTTTTTATTAATTATACATGTAAAGCTCTATTTGGGGAAAGGAGATGGCACGGTAAATCGGGGGTTACGGTAAATCAGGGCGTGGTAAATCGGGATTTTACTGTATTATGAGGAGTCATTTACCTGGCCTTGGTGTGAAATCAGTGGCGTAACGTTGCCTGTTGGCGCCCCCTGCCGAAAAGGCGCCCCCCTGTTGGCGCCCCCTCCCCTTTTGGTGCCCCTCCCTAAAATTGAACAAATTAGGTGATTTTAGAGGATACGCCGGTAAAATCTCTAAAAAAGTGTGTATCAAGAGCAAAACGCGCAGTTTTGCTAGTACTTTAGTTAAGTTTTCGAAATTGTCCCACATTCAAACGACGATTTGGCGCCCCCCTAAGACGGCGCCCCCCTGCACAGCAGGGTCAGCAGGGCCCTTCGTTACGCCACTGTGTGAAATTCAAAATGGTATGGAATGTTTGCCAAGTGAAGTTAACCTATCATATTTCCTTTAAACTGATAAACTTCATACAGCGTGGAAGAAGGAACTGTATCTTAACAAGCTCACAAATTGTGTTGTTCCGTGTATATGTGATAATTGTACATGTATTTCGATTATGAACCCTTATAAAAACAGTTAAAAGAAGTTAACTATTTAAATTACTTCAAAATTGGTTCTGTGGCAGATCATTTTATAAGTTTTATTTCACATCAACAAGGTTCAGTTCGTTTTACTCTCTCACGCTGGACCATTAGTCGAATTACTGTTCTGGGCCAACCTTCATCCTTACTTCCACCTGTTGAGGGTGTTATATTTCCTGTCCGTGGTAATTGCCTTGCTGTGGCTTAGAAATTGTTAGTTAATTGCTATTTTTGTATGTTTTGCTATGTTTTCCTACATATGATGATTGATGATGATGGCTTAGTAACATGCACTAAGAGTAAGACCTGCAACAATATTTTTAAGACAGCCTAGTAACTAGTTGAAACTTGAAATGCACATATTTGAATACCCTGATTTACTGCGGAGTTTGGGAGAAAGGTAAATCAGGGTTTTACCACTCTTTTTCCAGGATGCCACACTTTGGCCACAATATTGTCAGTGTAGCCAACAGTGTTTTTATTGTCATGTGATATTAGTATGAAGAAAATGCTATGAAACAGAAAGCATGTGTTTTTATAGCTTACAAACTATACACTAAATAAAAATTAGCACATTCGAAATTGGTGAGCAAACATACCATTTAACCACAAACAGTACATGTTTAATTTTAGCCTTCCACTATATTAAAAGTCTATAGCAGCTGTCAACATAACATTGATTAATAAAGTCCCTGTATCACTCTCCTTCACCTGTCTTAGCTTGATCATTGTGGTCAACCATTTTGGTTTCTAACTTTAAAGGTGAATTGAGACAAATTCGGGCACACACAATTGAAATGCTATACAACAGTGTGTTGGAGACTTTTTGATGTTAACTCAGATCTAATGTAAAGTTTGGGGAAAGAAAAATGGTGCAGTAAAGCTTGCATCAGGGTTTGCTGGCAGAGATTGAGTAAAGCATAGAGATGGCATTAGATGTAGAGACCAACGAGATGCAAATTTAAAACAATTTATGGCCAATTCTTGTTCTTGTAATTAAAAAATAAACTTGATACTATTTAGTACTACTCTTTTATCAAAACAAAGGTCTAACTTGAAAGTTAAATATTTGATCTTTCCTCTTACTACATTACTTCAAATGATTTACTACTACTACTACTACCTGGTAGTCTATCACCTGTCTAACACTTGATAAAAATGTTGATTATTATTAAATCTAGAATAGCTAATAATTTAACATATATTATTGACAATCCCCTTCGAGTGAGCTATAACATTCTCTATATAAGATTATGTATACAAATTCATATTTGTTCATTCAATTCTGTTAATTTTCGTCATCAATTTTAGGTCATTCAATATGGGAGTTCCCACATTTGTTGGTTGAAAGCACTCAACATAATATACATGAAGCTTGACTGCTTTATTGACAGTCCACGGGGCTGGGGTGAGATGCCCCATCCCCTCTACTGCTTCAGGGTGTGTTAGAACCCAGATATGCCCCATCCCCTCTACTGCTTCAGGATGTGTTAGAACCCAGAGATGCCCCATCCCCTCTACTGCTTCAGGATGTGTTAGAACCCAGAGATGCCCCATCCCCTCTACTGCTTCAGGATGTGTAGAACCCAGAGATGCCCCATCCCCTCTACTGCTTCAGGATGTGTTAGAACCCAGAGATGCCCCATCCCCTCTACTGCTTCAGGATGTGTTAGAACCCAGAGATGCCCCATCCCCTCTACTATTTCAGGATGTGTTAGAACCCAGAGATGCCCCATCCCCTCTACTGCTTTAGGATGTGTTAGAACCCAGAGATGCCCCATCCCCTCTACTGCTTCAGGATGTGTTAGAACCCAGAGATGCCCCATCCCCTCTACTGCTTCAGCTCAGCGGCAGCATGAGTCCTGGTTTCCTGTGCCACATTGCGTACCTCTGAGAGAACAGCGGTTGATTTCGTGGTCCTGAGATCTTCCCTCTTTAAGTGAAACAAAATTGCAAGTAAAACAAAATTTAAATTTTATTGCCATATTACAATGAATAATAATATCATAATAAAAATAGTTAAACTTAAACATCCAATAATAAACTCATGTAAATTAAATATGCTATGTAAAATACGTTTTTTACTATATATACTCGAAAACTAATCTCAATCATAAATTTCTATTAGCGCGGTGCTAGTCACTTTTTATAATGACGGCGCCGAGCCTTAACTAATGAATTCGAAAATAAAATAATTCTAAATCAGAAGTGAAAGCTATTCTAAAAATATTTCATTAACTTACTTGTATTCTAAATGTTTAAATTTCATAAAAAAGATAGTTTATAATGCCTTGTTTCACGTTGTAGCCCTGCTGCGCACGAGTGCGCGGCTTCGTCATTTCGTGCAATGACAGGAGGTTACGACGTGATACAAGTAATTCCACGTTGGCATAAGACAAATTTTAGTTGCTCACGTTCTGAGACCAGAAATGGGACAGTACTTGGACTAAAGACGGCTGGTAAAAGGAACCAGTTGCCTGTAAGAGCTTTACTAGTACCCGAAATACCGTTTCTAAAGCACCACCCCAAGCCTGATATCAGCTGAGCACAAACATATAAATTGTTTCAGGATTTTCACAAAAAATCAGCTAGTTCATACTATTGAATATTTGATATTGCTTATTAGGATGTAAAAGTGTTAATACATAATATATAATATAATACACGTCATATATACATTTGATATGATGTCCTTCTCCTCTCTAAAAGAAGAATAATGGATTGTGTATGGTGATGATTCTACCATAAAACATTTTAGTCTTATATAGTTTCTGATAGATTTTCAGGATTTAAAGAAAATCTAAGTGATTATATTGAATGATTAAAATTGTGCATTCAGCTAAGAGCAACATCGAAAAATTAAAATATGAACTCGTTGAATTATTTTCAAAATGGCCAAAACCCTTTTCAATAATTTTGTTTCTCTAATTCCGTCGAATCATACATCTCTAGAACAGTGTAATTAGAAAATTGTTCAAACAATATACACAGGTAATTTCAACAATGGTAATTGTCTATATATAAGGTTAGACACCCTCGAAAATGAATAAACTACTTACTTGGGTTACTTGGGGTTGCTTCATAGATCCTCTATCGGGTCATCAGAACGGCTGACCACCCGTGCAGCGAAGTTGCTGTCTTTTCTGCGCTCCAGTTCAATAACGAATTCCCGTTCTGGCAACAATATCCAGTAACAGGAGGTTCGTCCGGAATAGATGTAACAAACTCCGTCAACAATGACTTGAAGCGTAGGGGGTCCTCGATAAGGTGCAGGTTTGCGGGAATGATGTTCCACAATCGAGGCCCCATCACTATAAATGAGCTGTCAAAGATCGATTGATTCCTTTGGCTACTGGACGTTGACAAGCTAGGGACTACTGCTTTCTGGCCATAACGGAGTGTATCTGTAAACTGAACGTTGACATCATTAGGACACTTCTTGTGTAGGATCTTCCACATATGAATGATAGTGTAACGTTCTCTCCTCCGTTGAAGTGACATCAATTTTAAGGCCTTCAGTCTCTGCCAATAGTTCAGATGTTGCACACCATGTTGCAAACCAATACAATAGATTGAATTTAATAAACATTGTAGCAATTTTGTTTGGGGGGCGGACTCTAAGGGGGTCGCCAAATCGTCTTTTGAATGTGGGACAATTTCGAGATTTTACCAGTGTATCCTCTAAAATCATATAGTTTGTTAAATTTTAGGGAGGGGCGCCAAAAGGGGAGGGGGCGCCAACAGGGGGACGCTTTTTCGACGGGGGCGCCAACAGGCACCTTTACGCCACTGAACCAGGGTAGAAAATAAAACCCTAGTTGTAATATATAAAACGGTAAACTAAAAATGATATTCCACTAAATCACTTCATAACAACCAGCGGTTCAGGCCCTCGCCTATCAAACACTCTCCGACTCTTTGAAGATCTAGGAGTGTTGATAAGGTTAAGGTCCAAATCACTTATTGCAGTGGATGGCAGAACCATGACAACCGATTCAGTACCAACCAATCACGATAAAGTATGGAGATAAAAAGTATCGCCACTCCGATCATAAAGTTTTGTGCTCCACATCCATGACACAACACAAAAATATAGTTAATAATCAAATTACACATCGAAACACGTCTAATAATTAAAAAGAGGCGAAAGTGGACAGGTACTTTGTGAAAATATGATTTAAGCGCTCGATTTTCAATTGCAAATTGGTGAAAATATGCGCGGCGTGCCTAAAATTTTAGTTTCATGTTAAAATTATTTCATGTTAAAAGTAGCAATGCGACGCATGCTACTTTGTCCTTTGTCCACGGCTACTAGCTTTGTGCTTTGACCGCCGCGCGTGAAAACAGGTAAATACAAAGTTTGTAGATCGGTGAGATGCACCACTGTGCCTCACCGAGCTGCGAAGGATTGACATCGTGAATCAAGGGGGGTACGGGTCAAACCTTGATTACGTAATATAGGGGGGCTCGGTCTTGATTACGGTTGATTACGGAGGGGGGTGAAAATTGCCAAAATATTGATTACGTAATATGTTTGCTCTATCCAGAGCCCTTGCGCTTGCAGTAGCGCGCGCGCCTCTTGACTTGTGGAACAAGCGCGCCCGCAGTACTAGTAGCGCGAAAGCACATGGTTAGGTGAATAATATGTGAACGACCCCATACGTTGTAGACCCGCCACGCACAAATGCGGCATGCGCGGCCATGGCCGATCGTAGTCACGATACACCACTTACTACTTAGTGAAACGACAATGGGGTCACGAGTCTTGGAGGACTTCGCCGCTTCGACGCGCCGCGCAAACTAGCATTCTTGCTTCGATCGCATTTTTGCTTCGATCGTTGCTTTGCTTCGCAGAGCAACGATCTCGACGGATTGACATCGTCAATCAATCACGAGTCATGACGTGCCCAGGACCTCGCGCGCGACAACAAGCAATATGATTTGCACGCGTGGCGTATTCCAATGTTCAAGCAGCTTCCACGTGACACAATTCAGCCAACCAGAGAACAGGAATCCGCAAAGTTAAAGTTGCAAACTTTTGATCGGCCCGAAAGGGGACTTTTCTGGAGATTTTGAGATAACTCAACAATTACGTTGTCTTGAATTTTCCTCCTGGAGAGGTAACGTTACTTTTAAAAGAGGAACATGTTACAAAAAACCGGAAGTCTCCAACTCTTTTACTTTCAAAGTTAAGCCCCATCCGGTCAGGGTTCCTGGGTGCAGCTGGCTGACGCCGAGTAGGGTGTTTTGGCCGTTCTAACTTAAGACTTTTAAGAATTAAAGCAGCCGTATTGATCTTCCAAACCTACAACTTTCAAGGGCTAGAATTCGCTGTATTTTGCCGTTAAAACACAACTTGTACTGTTTAACTTCATGACTGGGCCGTAATTCAAAAGCAAATTGGCAAGAAGTGAAAAGTTACCGGCTGGTGGTGGTACTAGAGTTGGTTTAATTTAAACAGACGGCTTGACCTCGCGCGCGACAACAAGCAATATGATTTGCACGCGTGGCGTATTCCAATGTTCAAGCAGCTTCCACGTGACACAATTCAGCCAACCAGAGAACAGGAATCCGCAAAGTTAAAGTTGCAAACTTTTGATCGGCCCGAAAGGGGACTTTTCTGGAGATTTTGAGATAACTCAACAATTACGTTGTCTTGAATTTTCCTCCTGGAGAGGTAACGTTACTTTTAAAAGAGGAACATGTTACAAAAAACCGGAAGTCTCCAACTCTTTTACTTTCAAAGTTAAGCCCCATCCGGTCAGGGTTCCTGGGTGCAGCTGGCTGACGCCGAGTAGGGTGTTTTGGCCGTTCTAACTTAAGACTTTTAAGAATTAAAGCAGCCGTATTGATCTTCCAAACCTACAACTTTCAAGGGCTAGAATTCGCTGTATTTTGCCGTTAAAACACAACTTGTACTGTTTAACTTCATGACTGGGCCGTAATTCAAAAGCAAATTGGCAAGAAGTGGTGCTCACGGTCTCACTTAACGTCACTTAACGTTACCAGTTACTTATCGCTCAGTTAAGAGCGACCATGGTCTTAAGCGACAGACAGCCTGCAGGCATATGATCCGGATACGAAATATCCTTGTGTTCGGCATTTAGTAGCCCTAATTGGTTACTTCGCACCCAGGAAAAGTTACCGGCTGGTGGTGGTACTAGAGTTGGTTTAATTTAAACAGACGGCTTGACCTCGCGCGCGACAACAAGCAATATGATTTGCACGCGTGGCGTATTCCAATGTTCAAGCAGCTTCCACGTGACACAATTCAGCCAACCAGAGAACAGGAATCCGCAAAGTTAAAGTTGCAAACTTTTGATCGGCCCGAAAGGGGACTTTTCTGGAGATTTTGAGATAACTCAACAATTACGTTGTCTTGAATTTTCCTCCTGGAGAGGTAACGTTACTTTTAAAAGAGGAACATGTTACAAAAAACCGGAAGTCTCCAACTCTTTTACTTTCAAAGTTAAGCCCCATCCGGTCAGGGTTCCTGGGTGCAGCTGGCTGACGCCGAGTAGGGTGTTTTGGCCGTTCTAACTTAAGACTTTTAAGAATTAAAGCAGCCGTATTGATCTTCCAAACCTACAACTTTCAAGGGCTAGAATTCGCTGTATTTTGCCGTTAAAACACAACTTGTACTGTTTAACTTCATGACTGGGCCGTAATTCAAAAGCAAATTGGCAAGAAGTGGTGCTCACGGTCTCACTTAACGTCACTTAACGTTACCAGTTACTTATCGCTCAGTTAAGAGCGACCATGGTCTTAAGCGACAGACAGCCTGCAGGCATATGATCCGGATACGAAATATCCTTGTGTTCGGCATTTAGTAGCCCTAATTGGTTACTTCGCACCCAGGAAAAGTTACCGGCTGGTGGTGGTACTAGAGTTGGTTTAATTTAAACAGACGGCTTGACCTCGCGCGCGACAACAAGCAATATGATTTGCACGCGTGGCGTATTCCAATGTTCAAGCAGCTTCCACGTGACACAATTCAGCCAACCAGAGAACAGGAATCCGCAAAGTTAAAGTTGCAAACTTTTGATCGGCCCGAAAGGGGACTTTTCTGGAGATTTTGAGATAACTCAACAATTACGTTGTCTTGAATTTTCCTCCTGGAGAGGTAACGTTACTTTTAAAAGAGGAACATGTTACAAAAAACCGGAAGTCTCCAACTCTTTTACTTTCAAAGTTAAGCCCCATCCGGTCAGGGTTCCTGGGTGATACAATAATTACTTACAGTTACAACCAGAGCGCACTGCGCACGTCGAGTTGGAGGGTAGTGTACTCGTCGACTTTTAATAAATGGAACAACTATAATTTTACGATTATATATTACCCGTTTGCCCATGCCATATTTTACCTGGGGCCGCCATATCACATATTGAGCTGACATGAGCGCCGCTCGGTCTAGTAATCAGTAATAATCGTTGGAGGACTTCGCCGCTTCGACGCGCCGCGCGAACTAGCATTCTTGCTTCGCATCGTCGTCGATCGTTGCTCTGCTTCGCAGAGCAACGATCTTGACGGATTGACATCGTCAATCAATAATAATCGTCGATTCTGTTCAATCGCTTTGTTCATAAACAGCCTTAGATTCCAGATGCAGATTAGAAAATTCTGCACTGGAGTTATTAATATTTTCCATTGTTAAATATGAATTAACCCGGCGCCTGGAAACTTTATTTTATCATCTCAGAACCACTTTCGTTGAATTCTACGCCAATAAGAATATGCCCAGAAAGATGTATTTGGGGTCTTTAGTGTATCGCTCGAGCGGAAAATGTCTGTAACGTAATTTATTATTACATACAATTACAACATAGCTTGTTAATTGGCGATGTCAATCCGTCGCGACTCAGCATGGCCTTTTTTGGTGTAGTAAAAAGTGTAGTAAAAAAGGTACGCTAAATTACACTCAACCAAAATTATCTTCTCCATTCTCAGAATCTAATTTTTTCCTATTATTTTCCGCTTTTACTAAATCGCTCGCCCAAATTTTAAGAAAAATCTTGTGAAAAGGCCCTTTGGGCATGAAAGTGATCTGAATCGGTGTATTTTTGGACGCTGATTCCGAATCACCCCCCATGACGTAGGGTTAAAATGCTTCCCTGGAGAGTTATGGGCAAAAAACCGTTTTGGTCACGTGACAGGCTAGTAAAATACTAATTTGATTGTTTAGGGCTCGGGTTAGGGTTAGGGTTGTGGTAAGGGTTATGGTTAGCTTCGGGGTTATGGTTAGGGTTGAGATTAGGGTTTATGTAAAACCGTTTTGTACGGCTGCAAAACCATAAAAACCAAAGTCACGTGAAATTTTTGGGCGAGCGAATTAGTAAGAGCCATTATTTTCCCACCAGTCTTCACATAGTACATTTCCAATTTCTGAAGGCAAAACCTAGTGAAACATGTCGGGGTAAAACATACCTTTGGTGAGACAAAATGTCACTTTTAAAAGCTATTTTACACTACACTTTTGCCTTTTTTTAATGTATGGTGTTAAAAAGTGTAGAGAACCCCCCCCCCTCATGCCCATATTTGGTCCTTTTTTGGCACAAATATTCCATATCACTTCAGCAAGCAAACATGTCCATACCCAAATTTTTTATTCTCCTAAACTCGTATGTGAATTTTCATCCAGATTGGACACAAAATGGCTGAGTTATGAGCCAAAAACCACAATATACCCCCCCCCCCCCCCCCCCCCCCATATCTGAGCATATGCAAAAAATTTGATATTATACCCTGATCTTACTTTACTTGTACTTGGAAAGGTCTCCTCCTAGTCGTTGGAGTGGCCTGCACCACATAGTAACTCCTTTCTCCGGTGTATTAGACCTCTCCAGTGAACCCTGTCTGTAGCTTGTTGTTCTGCATCTTCTATCGTGATGTTATCGACACCTGTGAAGATTGCTGCATCCTCCCGGACACATGACAACCAGTTTTTCCTAGGTCTACCTCTTGACCTTTTACCATGCTTTGGGATCCAGTGCAGAAGATAGTTTGGTATTCTTTCTTCTGGCATCCTCACCACATGGCCAAACCATCGGAGTCTAGCTGCTCGTACGAAAGTATCAACAGGGGCGATGTTAGCCCGCTTAAGTACATCAGCATTAGATACATGATAAAACCATTTGATTTTCAGGATTCTCCTCAGACATCTATGATGGAACACCTCAAATCTTTTCATCTGCGTCTGTGTGGTATTCCATACCTCACTTCCATAGAGCAGTATAGTGAGAACAGCCGCTTTGTAAATCATGATTTTTGTTGGAGTCTTGATGCTGCGACTGTACCATATACTGCTAAGCTGATAGAATGCCCCAGAGGCCTTTTGAATTCGAGCTGATAGTTCTTTGTCAATTGTTCCATTTGCACTGATGATTGCACCCAAGTAAGTGAAATTGCTGACCTGCTGTATTGGGAGACCTTCCACATTGATGTCCATAGTGTCGTCTTTAGAATACGGCCTCTGCGATGCACTTTTGCTGACAACCATGCTCTGTGTTTTTCCAGCATTAATCTTCAGACCCGCATAGGCACTGTATTTGCAGAGAAGGTCAGTGGTTTCCTGCAGCCCCTCTTTTGAGTTATCTAACATGGCCATGTCATCAGCGTAATCAGTGTCCAAGAGATGTTTCTCTTCTACCCCGGGGGCTGGCAGCTGTAATAAAGCCCCCTTGCTAATGACCTTGTTTAGTTCCATAAGGTATGCCGAAAAATTCAAGCAAAAGTTGAATACTGGTGGTCCCTGTATATCACCTTGCCCAGTACCCGAGTTGACATCAAACCAACCTGTAACCTCTCCATTGACCCTAACAGCACTAACTGTGTGAGTGAAGAACGCCTTCATAATTCTAATGTACTTGTCAGGTAAGCCGTAGTGCTGCATACTTCTCCAAATGAACTGCCTGTCAATCGAATCAAAAGCTGCTTTGAAATCAACAAAATTAATATACAGAGGGATATTATACTCAATGCATTGGTGTATGATACAGCGGAGTGAATAAACCTGGTCAATACATGAGCGATTCTGTCTAAAACCACTTTGATTCTCCCGGAGGAATTTTTCCATGCCATTGCTAAGTCTCCGCAGGAGTATCATTTGCAGGAGCTTCGAGGCTGTGGATCTTAATGTAATACCTCTGTTGTTAGCGCAATGAGAGGTGTCACCTTTCTTTCCAACGATGATGATAACACCTTTGGACCAATCCTCAGGAATCTTCTCATCTTCCCACACTTTCTTGAACAACACAACTAGTTGATCGACCAACCCATCCTGTCCATACTTAAGTTGCTCGTTGGTGATACCATCCACTCCTGGACTTTTGTGATTCTTGAGTTTTTTGAGGGCATCAACAATCTCGTTTCTTGTAGGAGCTTCATCCGAATCGGAAAGGTCGTCAAAACTGGGTTGCGGAGGGATGTTGTCTAGGTCAGAAATATTGGCCTCTTGCGGGGGAGGGTTCAATAGCCTAGAGAAATGCTCTTTCCACCTTTCTTTCTGGGCATGTGGGTCGGCAATCAACTGGCCAGATACGTCTCTAACTGCAGTTGACTGCTTCTTCTTCTTTCCAGATATGACATTGATCTTCTGCCATACCTCACGTTGCTGACCTTTTCTCGCAGCTTCTTCCAAGTCATTGGCCATTCTACGTGCCCAGTTGTTATCGTCCACCTTGCTACTTTTTTTAAAGAGCTTATTCAATCTAGAATACTCTGACCTGTTAGCGTTCGAATTAGGGTCTTTACGCTTAAATTCCTTACGGTTCTTCAATAATTCTTTTGTCTTCTGAGATTGGTGCCTGTCCTTCTTTTTTCGAGGTCTTTGCCCACGGATTTCCATGGAAACTTGTTGGACAGTTGTCTTGAAGTTGTCCCACATTGATTCCAGGTCAACCTCAGGTTCCAAACAGTCAAATTTGTTTCTCAGAACAATATTGTATTCGGAAACAAGTGAATGATCACGCAGATGCTCAATAGCAGGAATCTCAAGCTTACGTTCCTGCTCTTTTTTCACTGACATAAGCTTCATTCTCAGTCGTGCTCTTACCAAATATTCCCAAATACCCTGATCAGGGTTTTATAAATTGTAGATCACATTTTACAAATAATACAAAGTTCATAGGATGTTTATTTTAAAAACAAAATGTTAATTTTTACATAAAATCAATGATGTCAATACAATCATTACCATTGATTTGACATGATTCCCCATACCCAGCCTTCACCAAACTGGCAAGCAGTAACGATGAAAATTTGAAGACTGCTTTGGTCCTGTTTTTTAGTGGAAAAGTGGCGTGTGGGAATATAGTGGCCACCTGAATAAAGAGCAAAGACAACTCTTGGCGGGCAAATTGCAGAGTTCAAACTTCTAGACTCACAACAACTGTCGGTTGGCAACTTGCCAATTAAATCTTTATCAATGATATATATATACATTTTCGATCGTCTCATGTTCGACAAAATAAGCCCGTGTATGTGCATAGTAAAATGCTAAATATAAGCTTAGAGGGAAAATAGATGCAAAACTGTAAAACAGCATCTGCACATCACATTTGAACACCTGATAAACCAAATACTTTTTCTCAACCCAGGTTATTAAACAGATTACATTTTAATACAGTTATCAGGAATTTCAGGACAACAAAATCTGACTGAACATGAAAGAAAGTTCATTTTTCGTTTCTTAAAGAACAATGAACACTGAACAAATTCTTGGCATTTTTCTTATACATAAACTCAGCTAGGTCAATCTAAACCATGTGTGGCTATACTCTGACGGGGGTCTTAGGAATTAGAGGAGGAGGCCGTCTAAACGTTTCATTTCAAACCACAAGCACAAGTAAAAGGTATTTCACTCTGTCATGGCATTAACTGAACAGCGATACGAAAAACGTGCAAACTGCAGCTTTAAAGGGACATGTTATGGCTGAATAATCTTACCACCATTTACCGGGAATTCTTTATTGAGCACATTAATTACGCCGAATTCCAGTTTTATGGGAAGGATAGTAAAAGATCCTTTTTACCCGGTAAATAATGGTTAGACTCTTCACTGGTCCCAAAGCTGTCGCAATGAAAACTCCAGCAACATGTCCAACAGATATGTGAGATATGATCAGAACAGCTGAGGTTAGTATCTAGTGTCGACTTTGACCAGATATTACCATATATGGTAGTGTTACCATGACGAAGTTACCATATATGGCCATCATGACAGGTCGTCGAGCGAGTCGAGGGAGTTAGCGGAGTCAAGTCTCCGCAGAGTGGTGTCCGACAGCTCCAGACTTGATGTTTCTGAATAGTGGTGGTGACGGACTACTGGCATGTCGCCATAGTAGTCGTGAGGGGACAGGAAGTCGAATATAACGATAGAATCGTCGTGGGAGGAGGATACGATCTGGAATTCGTCAAACTGAAGTCTGAACACTCTGCCTTTGTGCTCCTGAGGGGTAACGTCTGTTATTGTAGGTATTACATGGGGGGTTTAATTACACTTTACAAATAGCACCCTGCGAGTAAATATAATCTACCCTGCGACTCTGCAATACCCTCCTATTATATTAGACTTGATCGGAAATGGACAACTATAATCAGTGCTGTATACAGTGGCGTAACGTTGCCTGTTGGCGCCCCCCTGCCGAAAAGGCGCCCCCCTGTTGGCGCCCCCTCCCCTTTTGGTGCCCCTCCCTAAAATTGAACAAATTAGGTGATTTTAGAAGATACGCCGGTAAAAATCTCTAAAAACGTGTGTATCTAGAGCAAAACGCGCAGTTTTGCTAGTACTTTAGTTAAGTTTTCGAAATTGTCCCACATTCAAACGACGATTTGGCGCCCCCCTAAGACGGCGCCCCCCTGCACAGCGGGGTCAGCAGGGCCCTTCGTTACGCCACTGGCTGTATATTGAAGTTAGCTTCTGAAATCGTGCTCATAATGGAGGACCCATTTAAAATATAAACAATTGAAACAAAGAATTGTCTGGTTACTAAGTGAGGGTAAGAGGCTGGTAGATGGAAATGTTTCAGGGAGATGGAAATGTTTCAGGGAGATGGAAATGTTTCAGCTACTTGAGCTTCAATACGTTTAATTTGATTACAGTTCAAGTCACATAATGTTCCCTCCCTGTGACTGAACTACAACACTTTGTGGGTTCTTCTTCTCAGGGACAATAGTGCCATTTTTAGCTGTGATTTTTTATTTGAAACTTTCCCAAATATTACAAAACACAGCAGTCTATAGTAGTCTGGTAAATTGAGATGGTTGATTTAGTTTGAAAGTAGATGTAGGATGAAAGAAGGTTAAGTAAATAAGGGTTTGTGTTTGACACACTGTACGCGCGGTACAACTCTCTAGTACGGCTTACTCTCTATTGACTATTAGTAGGAATGTTAGTGGCGGTAAAGGACAAAGAGCAACTGTCTTCTGTACAAAACAATCATGTTAACAGAATTTTGGTAATAATTAGAAATGACAGTGATGCAAACCGGCTTCACTTTCAGGAAGAGGGCGTTTTAATGAGTCATCGTATTTACTTAAAGCCGACTCCGTCATATATCGGTATATGTTGCAATCGAATGAATTATTGGTTCATTCGAATGAAAAGACAAAGTGATGCGATGAATAAAGTGACGTATTGACGACAAAACAGTGATTTCACTGTGACCGGAAGGATTAAAGGGCAAAAGGATAATAACGCGCTGCGCGCGACCAACACAGACAAAAGTAACATTATTGTGATTTTTACAGCGATATGGTGCGCTTTATGCACATTACACCGTTGTCAGCACGAAATGCGCGGCGTAAGACCATCCCAGGCAGGGTTAAGTTGTATTTATAGCTACCGACAATACACAACAGTTCAGTGCTCAATAAATATTGCCCTTTACATCTGTAGTCCTTCAAACAACATCTAGCAATACACAGCTTCATATAAGGGCTAATATTAACATAACATCAACTAAATCAAGATAAGTAAACATAACAAGATATAATTACTAATTTGTAGGCTTGTTGGGGCCGGATCAATTTGTAGCTACATAATAACATAAAGCTTACATTACAAAATAGGCTGTTATTGGATAAATGTGTTACTTATTAAGCCCATTTCGAGGAACGGATATGATTTGAATGTAAGGCGAGCGCGTTTCCTATAATATACACTATACAGTAGATTGTAATGAAATACTGATTTGTGCGTTAGATCATGTCGATACAGGACAAAGAAAGGTAAATGTATAGAGAGTCACGTGGTCTTTACTTACCGATATAGTTCTGATGCAAATGTCTTTTACTGGTGTGCGTGGATCCAAAGCAGCTTTCAAATCCCATACTTTTATCTTCCTGCGGGGTCAGCTTTTAGTGTCTACATTCCTTTTATTATCCGTACATAATTAATTAATTATTTATACACAACATTTGTACATTGACGCAAACAAATATACAAATGTAACACATAACAACCTAATTAGTAATAACCATCATTAACAAACACAAAACCACAGAAACTCTGTTTCTCTAACACCACATCATGTGATGAAATTTCGTAATTAATTTAGTGAAAATTATTTACCACGAAACACAATTAATAATATAATGGGTAATAATATCATATTTGATAGATACTACTAAGATCATGGCTATTAATACTCAGTTGGAATTTTTACAGTAGGGTGTCATAATTGTTGGTGTGTTTTTTACGTGAAAGTTTAACTTATAAGACCGATCAAAACTTCAGAAGTTAATTTACAATTCAATAATTTGATTATTCGATAGTTAGTCGTTTATTCTTCAGTTCAGTCTAAAAATAGAGTTTGAAATGTTTATCTTTTTCGGATATCCAGAAAAACTAAAACAATTATAATAACCTAACTTCTCCTGGTGAGTCTGCGAGGTCAAATTTTGTTTCATAGGTCAAATATTATTTTCGGATATGCTAAGTTATATGTTCTGCTATCGCCTAAAGAACTTCACACTGTTTAAAAAAAGAAAGAAATTTAGCGAGAAATTTCTTATCAACAAACACATTCATGAACCGCTCACTTCTTTATAAAGTAAACCATGTACTATTTCACTTGATCGCTTATAAAATACTTTTCATTTGAACGGATAATCGTACCGTGCCGGTACGATTATCCGTTCAAATGGAAATTCGTTGTCATGGAAACAGGGAAAGCCGTTAACACGTGACTTCTAAACAGTGGTCATGTGACTACTTGCTTGTCACGTGACTTACAAACTCTTACTCTAAATCCCGGTATATATAATATAATTCATGAAGACATCTCACTCGTAACCTGTCTCCCTGTGTTTCGGGTTTAGACTAAGACAGACCATGTGTCATGATATGTGTGCACGTTGGTTAGTCAATCAGATAAAACTCAGCCCACCTATAATTCTGATGAATTAGATGTTCTCGTTGAACGTGACCGAGTTAAATATCGCACCAAATAAGGAACATCATCTAACCCACAAATAATTGCTTTATCAGTAAAACTTTGAAATTCATGGTTCTACCAATAATGTACAAACTAATACATGCTTACCTTAGTCACGCACAAGATGATCTTATATATAATAGCTTAGAAGGTATCTTTTATCACTGCAGTAGCTATGTTAAAAGTATCAGCCGCGGCGGACAAAAATATAAACATACGGGAAATTTACAGCCAGGTGACGTAACGGCCGTTATCGCATTTGGGCAAATTATACAATCATTACATTTATACACTGTACTGAACACATCACTACATCAGCCACAGGACCTTACAGAATATAAACACTTTATAATTAATCGGTTGAACGAGTTAATTAATCAATTAGCAAATCAATTAATGTATAATTACCCGTCATAGGCGCCACTGACAATGCGGTGAGAGTCGAACCTAATACAACGAACAAGTTCCTCATGTCCTTCAAGCGTCCGGAGTATGGCTCCTGCTTCAATATCCCACAGTCTGAGGGAAGGTACATTTAAGCTAATTAATTAGTTAATTAGATTATTTGATAATGAGTGTGCAACATTTGTACATTGTACATGTGTACGTAATATACAACTACATAGCATAGCTCATTGCATCGGTTCTGTAAATTTCAGTGCCATACTAAAGAATTGGTTAAACAATTAATTGGAACTGCAAGGTTTAGTACACACTCAAGATTCACTATCCCACTATAATAACTGTACAAGACCTTTAAAAATGTGCCTGATGTAGCAGGAATGTAAAGGTAGTTGGAATGTAGCGGAGCTATACAGTACCATGTTTAAAGTTACTATGTTTAAAGAGCAGGGTGTAACTGGAGTGGGAGGAGTATTCCTAGTGCTGGGGTGGGTGGAGTATTCCTAGTGCTGGGGTGGGTGCAGTATTCCTAGTGCTGGGGTGGGTGGAGTATTCCTAGTGCTGGGGTGGGTGGAGTATTCCTAGTGCTGGGGTGGGTGGAGTATTCCTAGTGCTGGGGTGGGTGGAGTATTCCTAGTGCTAGGGTGGGTAGAGTATTCCTAGTGCTGGGGTGGGTGGAGTATTCCTAGTGCTGGGGTGGGTGGAGTATTCCTAGTGCTGGGGTGGGTGGAGTATTCCTAGTGCTGGGGTGGGTAGAGTATTCCTAGTGCTGGGGTGGGTGGAGTATTCCTAGTGCTGGGGTGGGTGGAGTATTCCTAGTGCTAGGGTGGAGTATTCCTAGTGCTGGGGTGGGTGGAGTATTCCTAGTGCTGGGGTGGGTGGAGTATTCCTAGTGCTGGGGTGGGTGGAGTATTCCTAGTGCTGGGGTGGGTGGAGGCAGGAGGAGGGGCGTATTTCGGTATTATAACCATCTCATTTATTACAGCATCATTGCCTTTTGTACACGATGAAAAAATTGCTGACAGATCAGCATTATTATATAATGTTTCGAAATGAATGGTACTAGCGAAAAATTCATGACAGAAATTATCGACATTTTCTTATGGCGAAAAGTGGTGACACCCCCGGCCCGTGTGTTACAGTTAGCTAACAGTTACACCCCGGCCCCTGCGTTACAGTTAACAAGGTTTAAAAGATTGACGCCGCTTCTAAAGCTTCTCTCTAGAACTACCATGTACTGTGTAGAACTATAATGTATCCTTGCTGTTAGCAACAGTGCATTATCACACAATATACGGCTTGTTAATTTCCTTGATATCATGGTGCTGTTAATTATAATTATTTATTAATTACTGTCAATTATACTGATATTATGAAGAATTGTGTTGACTATTTTTGAATTGCAGAATTGCTAAATTGAAATGCTCAGTTCAACTACAGGGGCTCTACAGTCAACGTACATGGCAGGACTGACTTTAAAACTTTCTCCAATGTTAACAGTGAACTATTTTGCTGCCTGTCAGAGTTAACGGGTTGAAAACAAAGCTCTATATCTCATAGTGGTACTGGTACTAGTATAGTACTGGTACTGGTACTGGTATAGTACTGGTACTGGTATAGTACTGGTACTGGTATAGTACTGGTACTGGTATAATACTGGTACTGGTACTGGAAGAGTAGTACATTAAAATCAGGTCTCCAAAAAATTTTCACGACTTGTCAAGGAGAGCGCCAAATTACAGCAACCAGATGGGGAGATTAGAATTGTGTCAGAAACCGGAGCAACTTCATGGATCACCAGCTCTCATATCTATACCAGGGTCATTAAATATGAGCTCCTTTGACGCATATCACCGACGTCACGTGATGCCCATATAAGGTGCGACCTCTGATTGTTACCCTGTATTTATTAATTAACCCAATACTGTTCCCAGACGTGTCTCAATTATACACTAGAGCTACTAGTCACTACCACTTCCAACTTACTATATATATATATGGGTAAACTAGACCTGCAACTGACTCTAATTTATCTCAATTCAAGTAGTGTACAAGTAGTAACATTTGGAAGTAAAATTAACTTTATAAAAGTAGTGAATACATTATAACTTACTTGATAAATACATTATAACTTACTTGATAGTACAGTCTGAGGAGCCCGATACAACGAGGGTACCGTGGTACTGTAGACAAGCTATACCGCGTGTGTGCCCTTGTAGAGTACGGATAAACTCACAAGCCTCTGTCCCCCATACCTGACACATTTAAAACATTGTTTAAGTTTATGGTTAAGATAATTCTTTTGCCTTGTAAAGCGTTTCTTGGATATGTATTACCTTGGATAGAATATGTGTAGTGAATGTAATGACGTAATGACTAGTGGATAGCAAAAGTGAATATCAATGTAGAGAATTGAATAGTGTTTTCAGATTGTTAAGAATTTCACTGCCATGATTCAATAATGTGATATTAATAAGTTCAATACTATGATATTACCGATCAGGTTAACACAGCTATTAATAAAATGATGTCACGATTTATTAGAATGTTTTATTTTAAAACTATTTCCAGATGTTTCATTGTCTTGCGGTACAAAACTCAATTATTATTATATATCATGCGATCGTGGTATTTGCCAGACATATTGCTTGTTCATCTTTAAATGATCGTCTACAGATCAATTTTACTTACTTTAATGCTTTGTTCCAGAAGAATCTTCAAATGATCAGATAATGACGGTCTTATCTATAAGACCGTCATTATAATATATATATTATATTTAACTAGCAGGAACCCGTGTTTCTCTAAAGTGGTGCCAAAAGACTTTAAATAAATAAATAAATAAATTCTAACATTTATTACACGCTTCGACATTAAAATATACCCAACAAAGATGTACATTTAAGTCTTTCAAGCGAGACTTAGTGTTGAAATACCAAGATTATGGACTTTTTATCAGTTTTTAAAAAAAGACATTAGACCATGTTATTTATTTAAAATTGGGATTTTGACACCACCTGGGCTGGGGGACCTAAATTATTTATTCCATGGCAAATTATTTAAACCATGATATTCAGATATCATGGTTTTGCACGATTGAAACATTTGTCTGACTCAACCGGTCGTTTCAATTTGTATATATATACATAATATATATATATATTTTGTTGCTGTACTCCTACACATTAAAAGTCGGTGTTGATTAGATCTTCGAAATAAGTCTTTGCATCATTTTATTAAACATCGTTATCTGAGATAAAATTGTTCTAAAAGCAACTATATATATATAATATATATATATATCGTCTCGCTTTACATATAGTAAGATGATATTATATTAGTTATTAACTAAGTTATAGTTAAGTTATGAGATATGATATAGATGTGGATACTGGTGGGGAGGTGAAACACATTTGTTTACTTTAATAGTGAGCACATGTTCGGCGGGTTGAGGAGGTGAAACACATTTGTTTACATTTTTAGGGTAAGCACATGTTCGGCGGGTTGAAGAGGTGATACACATTTTGTATTATAGAAGGCTTGTAACACTTGTAACGCTTTCTTGTTACCCCCCTTTGAAGGCCCCGAATTATTTTCTGAACGAAAGCTCAAAAATAACCGAGAAATCGACCTTCTTATTAACTCATTTTGATGACTGTTTCTGACCTAAAATTGCACGAAAAATTGATTTAGCTAGGTTTCAGAACCTATAAACACTTCCTTATCCCTCAAAGTTGATGTTTTATAGTTGATACGAGCAACAAGCAACATATGTTTTGATCCTTCGGTTCTACTCATGACCTAGGCAGTTAAGTTGAACCCGACAGATCGAGGCAATCCTCACCTTAATACTGATCAAAAGCTGCAATAAACGTATCGCAAAGAACATTTATATCTGAAAATTGTGTTAGTACCAGTTTGATCAGTTAAGGTGAGGATTGTCTCGATCTGTCGGGTTCAGCTTAACTGCCTAGGTCATGAGTAGAACCGAAGGATCAAAACATATGTTGCTTGTTGCTCGTATCAACTATAAAACATCAATTTTGAGGGATAAGGAAGTGTTTATAGGTTCTGAAACCTAACTAAATCGATTTTTCGTGCAATTTAGGTCAGAAACAGTCATCAAAATGAGTTAATAAGAAGGTCGATTTCTCGGTTATTTTTGAGCTTTCGTTCAGAAAATAATGCGGGGCCTTCAAAGGGGGGTAACAAGAAAGCGTTACAAGTGTTACAAGCCTTCTATAATACAAAATGTGTATCATCTCTTCAACCCGCGCCGCTGAACGTGTGCTTACCCTAAAAATGTAAACAAATGTGTTTCACCTCCTCAACCCGCTGAACATGTGCTTACTATTAAAGTAAACAAATGTGTTTCACCTCCCCACCAGTATCCACATCTATTATATTAGCTATTAACTTCCAAGCATGAGTGTCCAGTCTTTGCCCGGTATGCATTATGTATTGTGCAATTAGTGCCGTTTTTGGGATGTTAAGATTAAACACTGCTGAGTATAAGTTTTATTTTAATAGTGGTGTCATTAAACTTCAATCTATTATTATTTATAGTAAAGATATGATATATTATAATAAATTAGCTATTACTAGGACCTCGCGCCGCCTTCATGGTAAAGTTATAAATTTATATAAGCAACGACCTTTACAGTTAGTTAACTTATAACATTACATTAGTTATGATATTTATAGTTTCAAGTTATAATAGTTTATTAGTTAAATTACCTTAATAGTTCTGTCTCCGGACGCTGACACGATGTACTTCTCATCAAAGTCCACAACATTAACCGCAGCTCTGTGCCCAACTAACGCGTGCTTCATTACTATGTTCTGAGGGTTTCCACTCATCGTCCAAACTGCTATTGTACGGTCCTAGAGAAGTGGTTAATTAATCAGTAATTAATAATTACTTAATTACTTCCCCTTAATTAATAATTTAAGGGAGAAAAATTATTTGATGTCATTTAAAAATAAGAGGGGAAATTTGTTTTTAACCGTGACACCGATGGATCAATCAGCTTGCAGAATCGACCAATCGAACACAAGAGTCGCTGTCACGTGTCAAAACATGCTTGCGTCACCTCCTCAGCCCATCAAATGTGCTCAGGATAGAGATTCTCAAGAGTTTAACCTAATCCACTCGACTAATAGGGCGGCTTTAACGTCCGAACAGAGATAGTTTTTTTTTCAAATCTGTCTATCCAGCATAAGTTTGTTTATCTCCTTGCTGTCGTCAAGCCCCGTGTACTTCCGAAGGATGTCAATGTATGTGAGGTGTGGTCTTCCCCTTCGACGATGTCCTTGAAGGGGGAACCAACTCCTACCATTAACCAACTCCTACCATTATATTAACTTGATTTAAAGAGCCCAATAGAAGTCAGGGAAATAGGTTTCAACATATTAAACGAGTGGAGTCAGGTAAAATTCAGAGCTCCAAATATGTGATAATCGTCACATTCCGGTTCCCACAATCACGAAATATTGTATTTACCAGACTATAAACTTATTTAACATAACGACGCTGGCGAGTAATATGAGGCATTTACATTTAAGGAATCGTTTCTCGAGATATAATCATATGATGTGATCAGACATATATAATATTAAATTATAAGACGAGTTCTATTAAATGCGAGTAGTTACCTTGGAGCACGATACCATGATGTTCTATTAAATGCGAGTAGTTACCTTGGAGCACGATACCATGATGTTCTATTAAATGCGAGTAGTTACCTTGGAACACGATACCATGATGTTCTATTAAATGCGAGTAGTTACCTTGGAACACGATACCATGATGTTCTATTAAATGCGAGTAGTTACCTTGGAGCACGATACCATGATCAATGATGTTCTATTAAATGCGAGTAGTTACCTTGGAGCACGATACCATGATGTTCTATTAAATGCGAGTAGTTACCTTGGAGCACGATACCATGATGTTCTATTAAATGCGAGTAGTTACCTTGGAACACGATACCATGATGTTCTATTAAATGCGAGTAGTTACCTTGGAACACGATACCATGATGTTCTATTAAATGCGAGTAGTTACCTTGGAGCACGATACCATGATGTTCTATTAAATGCGAGTAGTTACCTTGGAGCACGATACCATGATGTTCTATTAAATGCGAGTAGTTACCTTGGAGCACGATACCATGATGCCATTCTGGAACCGGAGATGAAGGACAGCGTCACAGTGGTGGATTAACATGTGGATTGGTTCTCCGGTCTTCACATCCCATATTCTGAAATATTACACTCAGTATAGTAAACAGTTGTGTTACACTCAGTTATTTGTTAGGTTACACTCAGTTATTTGTTCTAGGTTGAATGTTGTGGTTTTGCTTTTGGTATAAATATGACAACTATGATCTACACATTGTTTATGATACGTAATACCCCTGACCCCCTTCAGATGTACAGTAGTTTCAAATTCTCCATATTATGAAATCATTATACTCAGTATTACAACAGTAATAATATGTTAAACATGTTAAATATGTTAAACATGTTAAATACATACGGTTGGTCAGCGATGTGGCCAAACATCACATTATCATTTAATTGAAACAGCATGAGAATAGGTAATGTTTCTTTGGAATAGTTTAGGTGGAGATATAGCTACAAAACATGAGTTCTGTGGGAATAGTTCAACAATATTTACAAATTGTCTCTAGCTTATTATCGAATTAGTTCAGCAGTCTTTGTCTTACTAAAATTCTGAGACTGTGATTAGATTAGAAACTGCTTCAGTAGAATGTACTATCTTGTTTGAACATATTTGTTTCTTATAATATGAGAATCAGCTAGTTGGGAGATACGGATCTCCCTTCAACCAGCAGGTGTCATACTCCTAATTTTAAATGTTTCTAATTTTAAATGTTTCTTTTTAAATGCATCTAACTATCTAGATTAGAATGACATATTTCAAATGATTTAAAACCGGCTACATTCCTTCTCCTTTCAGCTTCCCAGGAAAACTGGAAATAGACCCTCGGTACTTCGGTATCATGACGTAAGTTTACAATAGCAGAGGAGGTGATCACGATGTGTAAAGTTAAAACTGAGCGAGGCTGATTGTTCAACTTATTAGTAATAAATACTGAGAGTTTTGGACTGGTATCAGGTTCTTAATAACAAGAAAGCTGGCACAAAACTAATCTCATTACTTGCATACCTTAAATTACAGTGTCATACAGCTACTAATCCAGAGTGCATGTACGGTATGTGATTACTTTTGGGAATATTTTGTCAGATCTGTGTGTCCAGCTTATAGCAGCCCCAATACAGCAATATGTGTTATCAGTGGTGACTGAAAATCAAGTACTGGCTCTTAATTGTTACTTTAAAGAACTAAATATTATTTTAACTGTATTATATATAGTAATAATTATACCCGAATAAAATATAAGCAATTCTAACCTGATACTGGCATCACTAGATCCTGTGATAATAATATTTTCATCATATTGCATACAAAGCACAGAACCAGTGTGTCCAGTAAGGGTCATAGTATTCTTTAGACTATCCAGATCCCAAACCTGCAGAAAATAATCTTTATAAAGGAGCTCTTAATCTTGATAGTAATTATAAAGGAGCACGTTATTTTGGTAGTATTTATAAAGCTAAAGGAGCACGTTATCTTGATAGTATTTATAAATATTTATAAAGGAGCACGTTATCTTGATAGTATTTATAAAGGAGCACGTTATTTTGGTAGTATTTATAAAGGAGCAAGTTATCTTGATACTATTTATAAAGGAGCACGTTATCTTGGTAGTATTTATAAAGGAGCACGTTATCTTGATAGTATTTATATAGGAGCAAGTTATCTTGATAGTAGTTATAAAGGAGCACGTTATCTTGGTAGTATTTATAAAGGAGCACGTTATCTTGATAGTAGTTATAAAGGAGCACGTTAGCTTTTAGAGATTTACCTTGATAGTGTTGTCCCGTAGACCGCTGACTATTTTCTCGTCGTCATATTGCAAGCAATAGACACCTTTACTGTCGTGACTGGCACAGTCTATTTTTCTAAAGTTCAGTTTTCCCAGCTTCCACATTTCATTTGACATCTGGGAAATAGTTCAAATCATGATCAGTTTGCAAGTTTAATTACCAGCAAGTTTAACGTATTAGCTTATATTGGGCGTTTATTTATCGGTCGAAAATTCCAAAAAGTGCAAATTAATTTCGAGACAAGAAAGCCCACAAATGTTCTGCTGTATGTAGCATTGTTTATAAACTCACTTTTAAGTCTTGGACAATTTTAGGATATAATTCTTTGTAGTACTCTGAACCAAAATCTGATGCTCGATGTAAATGACTTATCCTGAAATTTAGTTACGTTACCAGCCGGCAGTTAATGTTTAAGTTTAAAAACCGACAGAAAATTAAAATTTCGCATGCAAAATTCAAAAAATGTTTGTTAACTCTACTTCGCTATCTTTCTCAATAGTACCTATACCTAGGGATTATATCAAAAAGTATTATAAATAATACAGTTGAAGTGTTGAAATAATCACAATTATAAATCCAGCATAGCACCTACCATTCCCTTCTTTTCCCAAGACGCTGCCAAATTGCTTTAGTGTTGACATTCCGAACAATTAATTTTCTCCATAAATGTCCTGAAATGAAATGTGATGGTCTTACACAATACGGTCATAACACAAATCCAATACAAATATTCTTACACAAAAAACTGTGATGACGAACCGGCAGATCTCCAACCAATATTTAAAATGCGATTCTAACTTAGGTTCAATCCTTTCGACAAGTGCCCAAGTTTGCAATGGCTCATATTGCAATGAAAAGTTTAATTCTCTTGAAAAAGTTGCAAAATAACATCAATCACTCACCGTTACATATGATTTCACGCCATCTTTTAGAGACGCTTTCTGCCCTACATAAAGACATTTCGTCTAAGTAGGACAGTATCTGTTCTGACACATATTCTGGTAAGGCGCTGATGAAGTCTCGCATCAGATAGGGTCGCAGAGCCATGTCGATCTGCCAATGCTGCTCGTGGCACATCTCACCTAACAACCCCTTCACAAAGTTTGTTTGTTTGTCTGATTCCCATTCTTTAAATGATTCCACCATCTCAGGCTGAAATTTAGTTAATTAATTTACTTATCTAGTAGCCTCTTTATAGCCTCTACATTCTACATCAGATACAATAATGTATATTCTGTTGATGCTGTAAAATTACATATTTAATAACTATAATGGCACAGTGCAGTCATCAAACTTTATTTGAAAAATTTGTTTCAACCAACTTAAGTGTTCAAAGCTCAACAATATTATAGAACATTCTAGATACAATATTTTAGAACATCCTAGATACAATGAATTAAAGCCAATACTGAGCAAACCCTCAAGAACCGATCAGAAAGAATAAGAGATTTCTATTTGAATAGCATTAAAGTTGTTTGTTATTCGAAAAATGAAGGTTGAAACTATAATCACATGAGCCACAGCTCTAGTGCCTTGATTTCACTGCTTTTACACAAGCAGAAACAATTTTATACATTCCTCATCTCAAAATGACCACATACAAGTGACCAAGCAACTCTTTATCTGTAGCAGCCTACAAAATTTAATTGAAATCCTTATTAAAAATTAAGAAAACAAAAAATTCACAATACCATTTCAGGGTTTGATTTTCTCTTTTTGGCAGATTCATCGTTGGATCCAGTGGGAGTGCAGGTGGTGCCGGATCTTGTTACAACCATATTGATTATTTTGGATTCATCTCTATAACAATTAGAAGTTTATGTCATTGCAAGGAGGATATACTTGAATTAATTTACAGCATCACACAATTGCACAATAAGATTATTACCATTGACATGCTATAAATAGTTGCCGAATAATTGACTGCAGACAATTCATTTTCATAGTCAATATTTGACAACAGATACAGCAAAAACATTAATAATCCTTGTACAGAAATTTAGTTGCAGGATTTGACATTCAGACTTTCACGGACACATTTGGCATCAAGTATTAGGCATATGAAAAAATTTGGATTTGTCACGGACAGCCATTAATATGGAAGTAAATCGAACTTGGGTTATAAAATTGAGATAATAGATGAGATTTAAATCCACAGCTAGCGAAAAACTGGCACAGTAGAATTTTTAACATACACAACGCAAGTCAAACAACCTCAATTTCTGTGGTAAAAACAAATTTATAGTTAAACGTTATATAATGTAGAAGGGCATGATTTACTCACATCACTAAGCATCTGGATGGATAATTAGCACACAAGGATAAACTGACCTTTAAACATGACCACCAACTATACCACGTAACCATAGCTCCGAAATAAATAAATTGCTCTACATAGAAAAATCTGGCCTGATCCTATCACATTGTGGTCCCCAGGGGTTCGGTAAAGCCCTTACAGGCAACTGGGTCCTTTTACCAGCCACAATAAAATTGGTCATGCCAGTACTGTCATAAACTGTAACCAACTATTTAAAAATTAGACATCTTTAGCTAAATTTTAAATTTTAAGTCATAGAGCAATCTTCTTAATTTTAAAATTTTTAAGAATTATATTTTACCCTAACTATGATGTGGTGGCATTTCATACTTAACTAAATTTCAACTTTGAAAGTAAATAGATTATTAGTGACAACAAATTATAGTTTAAGACATCCATTCTGCATTGTGTTTCCAATATTAGAATGTGATATAATTAGAATATATGATATGTATTGATTGAATAATTGGTAATAAATTTAACTTTTGTTTTATTAAACTTTTGTTTTATTAATTGCTCCTACAATGCTCCAGTATGCAGATTTCAAGTCCATAAAAAGTGAAACTGCTGAGCAGGTTAAGTCATTTGACCTTTAATTGACAACCATGGCATCTGGTAGATTAGAAGCTCGATAATTATAATGCTGTACAACTTAATAATGTGCAGCACTCAGTTCTGAAGAGAGGTTTAACGAGTGTTGTTTACTGGCAAGCTCAGATCGCAGTGGATTAGGTTCATGTATCATTGAGATGGCTGATCTAAGGGACTTCTCTGCACATACCTGTTGCCCTCGAGCTGAAATCATTCCTTCTTATGGATAGATGTGAAGGCCAGTTTGAGTTGTTCTATAGTTATGATATTAATGAAAAGTTTGCCCACTAATTTCAGTAGTTATTACAAGCTTTTGAAAGTTAGTACAAAGTAAACAAGCCCACTTAGAATATAAGTAGTTTTTTGAACAAAAAATGTAACATCCAAAATACTTTCTTAAGCTGGTGGATACCTAACACCCCCATCACCTGCGCGGCGGATGTGGAAAAACAAGTGACCTTAACCACCTTCTCACTTGCAAGCTAGATGGCAACATGATAATTACCCACAATCATATCAGAGACACAATGGCCAATTTGAGAATGAAGTATCAAGAAATTTTTAATTAGCACTGCATAGTTACCCACAATCATATCAGAGACACAATGGCCATAGGTCCTGCTAGTTATATATAAAATATATTTATGTTTGCTTTAATTGATACTAAATAAAATTGTTGTTTTCTTGAAATTGTTGTTTTCTTGATAGTTTAAGATATTTATAGCTTATTATAACCATCGATACAAAGGCCATAATTTTTCGCCAGCTCTCCAATATCCATCTTGAAGTTGCATTTTATATCATCGAACTACACAATATAAACTTAAGCATACTATATAGTGTAGACTTTCTGTCACAAGACTGCAACCCATATACAAAAAATCTAAAACAGAAGGTAAACGAGGGTGACTGTCTCAACCCCAAGACTATAACTGGTGACAAAGCTTGGCTTAATGTATCTGCTAGAGGAGTTTGACCTCCATTTGATAAGACCTTTCTTGACATTAGGGTTTCACACCCCAATTGCTTATCAAATAGGACAAAGTCAGAAGGCAAACTTCACCCCGAGCGTAAGCAATTTGTCAACAGATTAGCAGATCTCATAGCCAGAAAGAGGAAGGAGAGGTACTGTGATTTAGTAATGCATGTAAGAACGAGGATAAGATTTGCTATGCTAAGAACAACTCTTATCGCTCTTCGTGGGTACAACGGAAAGATGATTGACATCAAACTAGAGACCCCTCTATCAGAAGTCTCGTACAACCTCATCCCTGCCCCGATGATGGAGTAGATGATGTGTTTTGAAAGTTTGTGTGAATTGAACAATTGAATTTAAAAATAAAAAATTAAAAAAAATTGAACAATTGAATCACTTGATTTATTAATTGTATTGTATGTATATATTGTTTGAATGACCTTTTTTGTTGTTAAATTCAAATTCTTAATCTTGCCTCCTAAAGACTATCATTCAAACTCTCCAATAAACCAACAAATTAGATAATATCGTTAGAAAAGTTTGTGCCGTATCTTTTTGAAATACCACAGGGTATTTCAAAAAAGGTAACTATCAAACGGTTTGGAAATATCATTTATGATTCATAATTTAAAGCGGGTTTAGTGCAAGTGAGCTATACCAATGTATCTTTACGCTGATTTCGAATAAGACTTATTGTGTAGCATGAAAATAATTTCTTGACGAGTTATGAGCAAATAACCATTTTTGTCAAACGCGCGCACGTGACAGGCTTGTAAAACGATATTTGAGCTGTTTATGCTTAAAGATTAAATTTAGTTTTGGTTTTAAAAGTAATCGTGAAGACAATATGAAGATTTGAATATGGAATAGAAGTACAAAATTGTGCAACTTAACTTTAAATACTTACCATTATATAATAATATAAATCGAAATCAGCATTTACAAATGTACACAGAACGGTCAAAATCTAATTGTCACTGCTGTGGCATCGTTAATGAAATTGGACTCGACTATACGAATTCAATTTATTTTTATACTTGATTCACGATGTCAATCCTTCGCAGCTTGGGGAGGCACAGTGGTGCATCTCGCCGATCTACCGAAGAATTATTTGATGCGCGGCGCGACCCAGTAGTGCATCGCGCTACAATTTTTATACTAGCATAATATTTTTAAATTAAGGCACGCGTTATATATCCTAAAAACCCATTAAATTTGATAGTATAAAACATTTTTATAACTTGCTCAATTAATTTTTAGGCGCAGGTTTTATTTACTGGGCCGCGCTCAGCCTGTCATTCCGCCAAATCTTTATGTTAATGAACATAATAGCCTGGGGTCCTCAGGTAAAGGTTTTATCTCCGCCAAAAGTACATTCAATTTGATACTTATGAAATATGTTTATAACTTTTTTAATTATGCACTGAGTTGGCGTTCAACGACAAAAATTGAACGGGGAATCTGGAATCGTTTAAAATCACTTTCGAGGCACCTTTACAAAAGCTTCTCACGCTATTATGCTTTTTATGGAGAAATAAATCAGTAGCGTTGTTGAGCTTGTTATTCTTTTTCAAAAGTATTCCAAGTGATTACTGATTTGTATTGTCATACGTTGTATGACCCGCCGCGCACGAGTGCGCGGCTCCCCCTCACAGGGGGAGCTGAAACCAGGTTTTCGATCAAACATTGCCATTTGTAGTCAAACGTCGCCAACAGGTGCTCTCGTCCAATGAAATCGCTGCATTATGAAAGCCAAGCCACACATACGAATATATGTAATTCAATTATGCATAATGGCAGGCAAAGTGCAGCGATTTCATTGGACGAGAGCAACTGTTGGCGACGTTTAACTACAAATGGCAGCGTTTGATCGAAAACCTGGTTTCAGCCCCCCCCTGTGCCCTGTATCGTCAGGACACTATAGTGAAACGACCGTGGGGGTCACAACGTGATACAAAATTTGTATAAGTGCATATATTAACTTTACCTGACCAAAGCTTACCTGACGTACAGGCCAATGTTTATGTGTATTTGCATTGCATTTTTTTCAAGAGTGTTGCACTCGAAGTGAGAAAAGCAAGCAAAGGCTTTGTAGCGCGATGCGTTACTGTGCCGCGCCGCGCACTCAATGAGGCTTCTCTCGCTAGATCGGCGAGATGCGCTACTGTGCCGCGCCGAGCTGCGATGAATTGACATCGTCAATTAAGCAAAGGCTACAAGCTAAGATTAGGAAGCTAAGTAATCTCGCGCAACTTGTGAAACAAATGCGTCACGTAGTATTTGTATACGTGTAAGCACATGCGTAGGCAAGTTTAACAGTTTATGGTTTAGGCAAAACATTGTATTTAATTTCCACTGCGCGATGTTGGTATGATCTTATGATGTATGAATACACGAAACACTAGTGTATTCGATTCACATAAACTAAATTTTATATTTACAAAGAATCTTAAAATAAAATACGCTCCAATATTCTAAAAAGCATCTCTATCGTCCACTATTTACACTAGCAGTCAGAACTGTGAGAGTGACATGGCTACGGCAAGACTAAGAGAGCTCCGAAATTTATTTACTAATGCGTAAATCTTCCTCTGAACCCTTGGAACCCTTTTACTTGGTAAGAGGTGAATCTGCTTTTTACTTAATATGATAACTATGTACTTTATTTTTGAGACTTATCCACGACAAGTACTAATGCGTAAGTCTTCCTCTGAACCCTTGGAACCCTTTTACTTGGTAAGAGGTGAATCTGCTTTTTACTTAATATGATAATTATGTACTTTATTTTTGAGACTTATCCACGACAAGTGACGGTCAATAAAACTACAAATAAAAACCTCTTCGCCACTCCCCTTACCACTTGTATCACGTCGTGACCCCCACGGTCGTTCCACTATAGAGTTTCTACGATACAGGGGGAGCCGCGCACTCGTGCGCGGCGGGTCATACAACGTATGACAACTTACCACGTGTATTACTATTAAAGAACTGACTTGTTAGTGAAAACATATCTCACAGAGACTTGAACATTGTCCTTTCACAATCGTATTGTTCATTAATCGCTGTACCTTGTACAGTATCAGTTTAATCAGTGTACCGCGCACAGTGCGTGATACGTGCACAGTGTACATTTTGCAGTGTTCAGAGTTATATGTGCACTATACACTATACAATAAACTATTTAACTCTGCCTAATATAAAAACTCTATAAAACTATCTTTGTACACCGGGACTGTGGTCTCACCGTCTTCAAATTAAAATTAAATTATCCGAACTAAAATAAAAGTTCACAGAAAGTCTTTCTGTCACAGTTGAATGTCACGTGACTTTCTGTCACAGTGGATGTCACGTTTTCACTTCCACGTTTATCTGCGATAGATCCAAAGAACCGTTTACTGGTTTGACCTCCGGCTGAAAATATAACAAATGTTAAGAAATATTCAAATTAAACTGAATATCAGATTACTATAATAAGTGGTAATTTTGGTTTTCTCATAATTATTGTTCAATTTGCATATTACTACATTAGTCTGGTTACCAACACATGCGGTCAATCCAATGTATCCAATTAATTGTAAGTCTCATATCACAAGGCAATTATCAGAGTCGGTCATTCTTGAAGCCTTAAATTAAACCTACAACTACCTCACCAACTCGATATATCTTGTCTCGCACATTTCTTAACATCCACTGATCCGGAACCAATCCCGCGAGATATTAAAACCAGCTTTACACTTTGCAGTGCAAACATCAAACTGTCGCTTAACTCTCGAGATACTCAGACCATACTTATCAACTCATTCCATTAAGGAAACAGTTTGATTAATGACATGCTAATTGGTCTCCTAATGACTGCAAACCATTCTGATTATGTACACTACACTCTTTATAATCAAACTAAGGTCTGGCTTATAATTGGGGTGCAGTCCCTTATTAACTTTGAGGACCATGCAGACTTATTCTAACAAGCAATCACCTGATACGCTGTGCGGAAACCTGAAACATTAAGTGTTCTAATTGAGGACTAAATCAGGCAGTAATGACAATTCCACACTGCTTAGCTTGCTAATGTTTCTCTACACGATCTAATCCAGGAGTGGGAAATGACCAACCCAAAACAGGAGTCTAACTTAAGCGTTAAAAGTCAGTATTTAATAGTAAAAACCAGTACCAGCGCCAATAAAGAGGAGAGTGATTTGGATATACATAACCCAGGACCGGGATGGAGAATGCACTTAAATACACTGGTAGCTCCATAATGTTTCCTCACTCTATTTATAACTCACTTGTGATTAGGGAGTGGTCACTAATCTAATTGTTAACTAATGTGAAAGTGAGTTGTAATACGAGACTAATTATTTCACAGTTCACTCACAAACGGCAGCAGAATAGCAAAATAAGGGTTAGATTTAAAAAGATCCAAAAATTGGAATGATGACAAATCAGCTTGTACAGCTTATAATGATGGAAATTAAATCTTTAGATCTCAATAATGGTGAGGGGGGGGGGGGGGGGGGGGCGTACACAAGACAATATCAGCAGATCGGGGGAGGTTAAAGTAAATATTCCACAATGTTTGTGTTTTAAACAATTAAAAAAAAGAGAGGCTGGGCCTGGTTGGCCCACGAGAGGATAGCATGTGGATGCTTTGCCTACCTCTGGGGTATGGCAGTCCTATGGGAGGATGCCGGTGGAATCAAGATGTGTAATCAAGGATGATGGTAAGTGTTGTGGGTGTGTGGTGGCTGGGTGTGGAAGAGAGAGGTGAACTAAGACGACGTGTGAGTAGTCGCTATGTTACACCAGTCTGGTCCAGCTCCTCTGGCACTATTAAGCGTTTAGTGTGGTTTGCAAAGTAGAAAGTCAATGTGTGTTCATCAGTAGAAAGAATTTTAGTCGAACCTCCCCTTGTTACTATTAAAATAGTTGTTAGCTACATAAATATTTTAGCGATATTATTAAGAGAGCACAAGAGAGCAGCTGATAATAGTACATACCCGTCTCACTCTACCAAGATTTAGTAGGGCCTAACAGAGGTAAAAATTGATAATATCAACAAATACATGCAATTATACATCATATTTCCCACAGTTATAGTTCATTTTGTAAGTAAAATTAATAAATAATTAAACCGGTTAGCTCTAAGAAAGTATAGCTGTTGGTTAACATGCTAATAACATTTCCATGCAGTCTGTGGCGAGTAGTGTTTGGGCCCGAATTCCTAACGAGTTTCTCAATTCGTCAAACGAATGCCAACATAAAGGTACTAAGTATTACCGGGCTCTTTATTGGAAGTCCTTTTGCTGCCGCGGCCGCGCTCTTTGAAACATATTCAAATTATTTCAAATATTTTAGCAGTGCTGTAAAACTCTACGCCCATTAAAAACTGAGATTAGAAATGGGAACTACCCTAGTGCTTTATACCCATAAAAGTGCTATGTCACATTTAACTAACTAAAGTTTTACTAACCATGAAAGTAAAACAAACTTAAGTTTAAGTAACCATGTAAGTTAAACAAACTTAAGTTTTATTAACCATGTAGATTACAATAATATAACTAAATTCTAACTAACCATGGCTATCTTGGTTTTCCTCCACTTCTCGGCAGACTCCTGGTTGCTCTTCTTTATACTGCTGTTTCTGGTTAGAGACTTAGACTCTGCGGGACCTACGCTCTTCGACTTCCGCAACTTCAGTCCCCCTCTGCAACACAAAATTAGTTAGATTAGTTAGTTATTTAGTTAATTTTTAGTTAGTTGATTGGTTCATTAATTGTGTAGTTTTGTTAAATCAGTAGACATGTTGTATTTAATAACAATATTTGACCTGTTATTATTTCATATTGGGGAGAATTAAGATTTTGAACTGCTTCGATTATCAGAATATCGACGGGCTTTAATTTCTTGATAGAGTAAAAGTGAAAAATCGGAAGAAAGTTAACCACCCTTTAACCCGTTAAGTTGTGAATTAAAACTAAAACGTGTCCGCTTTGCAGCGTAATTGGAAAAGATTTAAACTTGGAAACAAATCGGTAGATTCATTAGGTTGATTTATTAAAGCACAGTAATATAGTAGTTCGTTGAATCTAATTTGAAATGAATCTTATATTAAATAAAATAAAATCAAATTAATTGTTGAACGAATCTGAGGACCTGGTTGGATCTAATCTGAAATGAATCTGAAGATCTAGTAAGAAAATCAATTAATATGAGGATCTACTTTAGAAATTGAAATGAATCTAATAAGAAATTGAAATGAATCTATAAAGATCTAGATAGAGATTGAATTAATTTGGGGATAGAAAATAGAGATTGACTTAATATGAAGATCTAGATAGAGTTTAAACTAATCTAGTTAGAAATTGAATGAATCTTGTGATGAGGAAATTGTAATTAATTAAATTAGTTTGGGGATAGAAAATAGAGATTGAATTAATCTGAGGATGTAGATAGAGATGTAACTAATCTCAGGATTAGTTAGAAGTTTAAACTAATCTTATGATTAGTTAACTAATGTAATTAATCTGATGATCTAGTTTGATGCTATATAAAGAGATGGTAGGAGCTGTTTTTTACTTAGCAGGTCTCGAATAACAGGATGTTAGTTAACATTTCAACTTCAGTTTACTTGGAACTGGAACTTGGGCTGAAAATTAGTGAAATATTTACTTTTTATTCTATAAAAACTTAAATAATACTGTAGTGCCTTAATGAGTAGCATTAGTTCTGGAAAAATGATTAGTTACATAAGTAATATCCCTATAGGGTCGATATATGGAAATTATACAATTTCTCCTTTTCAGTGATATTCCCTCTCCAATAACTTGAATTATCTTGGTGAGTACTTCTTCAGAATTTACCGCACATTTGAGTCGGAATGTTTGCAACATAATCACATCGTAAAGATTACTGCTTCAGTAATAATCATCTCACTTACAGCTACATTTTCTTAAATATTGTCAAAGAAGCTGGAGGAGGGGGAGAAAACTAACTTGATCTTAGAAAGTAAGGTATTAATAATTAACCCTATCTTAGAAAGTAAGGTATTAATAAATAACCTAATCTTAGAAAGTAAGGTATTAATAAATAACCTAATCTTAGAAAGTAAGGTATCAATAACTGGCCTAATTTAAAAAAGTAAGGTATCAATAACTAACCTAATCTTAGAAAGTAAGGTATCAATAACTATTAACTAACATAATCTTAGAAAGTAAGCTATCAATATTCAATAATTAACCTAATCTTATAAAGTAAGGTATTAATAAATAACTTTATCTTTGAAAATAAGTTATCAATAACTAACCTAATCCCAGAAAGTAAGGTATCAATAACTAACCTAATCTCATTAAGTAAGGTGTCGATAACACACTCCTCCTCAGGAGGAGGCATTCCCTTCTTCTTCGCTCGGGGCAATGTTTCTCTCTTCGCCATGTCCTCTTTTCTCTTAGCAAGTCTTGCTTCCTGCAGGCGTCTCTTCTCATTCTCCTGAAAAATATCACGTGTTGTAGATAATTCTATAATTCATATTACAATAAAACCCCGATTGACCGCAACCCGATTTACCGCGCCCCGATTTACCGCAATTTATATAATTCATATCATTTTATAAACGTGGAACGAACTTTTCAACTTTGGAACGACAAGCTTTAGTCATTTTGATATTTGAAACTGTCCCCGAAAATATTTTGACTTCTGAATGATGGTGCGCTGAGTATCACATGACACCTAACTATGAATTAATCTACTCATGCTGGGGTTAGTGTAACTGTTTTGTGAGATTTAGTTACAATAGTTTATCAGTGAGATAATGCCTGGTGATTCAGGACCTGGTCAGTAGATATCAGTGTGTTGATCTCAGCCACTTTTCGCTACTCAAATGTTACGTTTGTTGTCTCTGGTAACTCTCTGCTGCTGGTTCGTACCCGTTATTTCTAGTGAGGCTTGTGAAGATCTGCTAATTGAAGGATGGGCCCCAGGGCAGGATCTCACAATACCACAGGGCTACTCTCTTAGAGATATCCTGACGGTCAGGGGACAGGTACAGAAAAAGAAGTCCTATTATTTCCTCTCGTTTAAAGGACAATCACGCCGGGCCTTCATGAAAACTGCATTGTACAGCAACGGAGTCTTTGGGGTGCTCACTCCGAGTAACAGCAAAGTCTTACAAACAAGAGTTATAGATAAGGACAGTAACAAGCTGGTACTGCAGATGAAGTGCAGCGAGACTGAGACTACTTGCTATGTCACAAGTCAAGCTAATCCTACAATAGTGTCCTTTAACTATCAGCAGAGCATGTCAAACATTCTATCCTCGAACAAGATCTTCGTCAGCGAGAATATCGCCACATTCGTAACCCTACAATCTATCACATTCTGTAGATCTTCAGAGCCAAGAGTTGAAGTTGAGATGAGACCCTCAGGGCCCGTGACAGAGGGAGGAATCTACACGCTGATCTGCAGAGTAACAGGACTTCCGGTACTGTCAGCTACATGGAGCAAAGGAAGAGAGGAACTGGGGAACGCAGAGACAGAACTAGGGGGGTCTGAAGAGGAACATACTCTTACACTGACCTACACAATCCGTGGGCTGAGCTCTGAAGACACAGGTATCTACAAGTGTAAAGGACAGAGCTTGTTAGTTAGTGATGAGGGAGTGAGCCGTGAGGTGAATGTAGTGTTATCTGAACAGCAGGATATAGGTGATATTCAGGACAATAATTCTGGTGATGAGAGTACTGGAACAGATGACTCTGAAGGTGATGACTCTGAAGGTGATGACTCTGAAGGTGATGACTCTGAAGGTAATGAATCTGAAGGTGGTGACTCTAAAGGTGATGACACTGAAGGTGATGACTCTGAAGGTAATGACTCTGAAGGTGATGACTCTGAAGGTGATGACTCTGAAGGTGATGACTCTGAAGGTGATGACTCTGAAGGTGATGACTCTGAAGGTAATGACTCTGAAGGTGATGACTCTGAAGGTAATGAATCTGAAGGTGGTGACTCTAAAGGTAATGACTCTGAAGGTGATGACTCTGAAGGTGATGACTCTGAAGGTGATGACTCTGAAGGTGATGACTCTGAAGGTGATGACTCTGAAGGTGGTGACTCTGAAGGTGGTGACGCTGAAGGCGTGGATTTTGATGAGGATCCAACACAGCCAGTTGGTGAAGTTTGCAAATTTCTCGGACAGAATATAACAAGGCAAGAGGTCTTACAGTTTCCTGACAACTTTAACATATCTGATGTTCTCACAGTCAAAGGCGACTATGGAACAGCAGAGAGAGGTTATTTTATGTATCTATATGACAACGAAGATTCAGCAGAAACGTGGAATTTTTACTTTAAGAATACTGGAACTTTGAACACTTGGGGTACCTACACCAGTCAGTCGATACCTCTATTCGATGAAGGGACGAAAACCATAATGAAAATCCAGGTATTTCACAACATATCATCCGGTACTCTGAATATAATTACCCCTAAATTCAAGGAAGTGATCAGCAAATCAGCATATAATACTCAAATGCTACGTTTCAATACTGCAAGAATGGAGGTGTCAAGAGGTCGGGTGTCTTATGAGTATATCTCAATCTGCAGACCGAAAGAACCTCAAATAAAGCTAACTACACCACCTCAACCTTTTATACTAGGTTCCACAGTCACTCTCCAATGTACAATAACAGGGCCTCCCTTCTTATCTGGATACTGGTCAAAAGACAATACAGATTCAGAGTCAAGCAATAGTGTGCTGGACGAGACAGAGGCAGAGCATAAACTGAAAATAACGCTGGTCCTTTCACGCTTCCGCTTAACGACCCTGGGACTATACCGATGCCATGCAACAAGTTCTATACTAGCTTCAAACCAAACTGTAGAACAAAGTGTTGAGGTATCCTATTCAGTACCACTGAGGATCACAAAGCCTGCAACCAGGACTTACAACCTTCTCCCAACCTCTTTCATCTGGAGAGTAGATGGATACCCTAATAGTGGGGTCAGGTTGGAGTGTACCACAGGGACAATTACTAAGTCCTGGGGTAGATATACGATAAAAGAAACACCCCCTCGTCTGTTTCAAGTTACTATCGGAGAAGGATGGGACGATGAACAGTTTAACTGCACTTTAACGAACGAAGGAGAGAATCTGGACATATTATACTCGTTCTCAAAGTGTAAAGATGGAAGTTACATTAAGGATGAGGAGTGTTTACCTTGCTTAGAGGGACAGACCAGTAGCAAAGCTAACAACTTTACTTGTGAAGAGGAAATAGAGGAGGAAGAGGAGGAGGAAGAAGAAGAGGAAGAAGAAGAGGAAGAAGAGAAGGAAGAAGAGAAGGAAGAAGAGAAGGAAGAAGAGAAGGAAGAAGAGAAGGAAGAAGAGAAGGAAGAAGAGGAAGAAGAAGAGGAAGAAGAAGAGGAAGAAGAAGAGGAAGGAGCTGGTGGTGAATTAGAAGATAGTAAGGACCCTCCAAAAGTAGGTCTTTCTCTGATAATAATAATATGTGGATGTGGTATAGCAGCGTTCCTGATGGCTACTGCAGTTGTAACAGGAATATTCATCAAGAAGAGAAGGAAGAAAAGAAGGAGCAGGAGGATGACAGCTGAGTCCAACACCAAGAGAATAAGGAGTCTGACAGTATCAGCTCCAGTTCTACATTACCACATATCAGGGGAGGTGTCTGAGGTAACCTGCAAGTTGAGAACAGACACCATGACAGGAGCCACTAAACCACCACCCCCTCAAATACAGAAACCCAGCAGACCGTACCCTCGCACCGAGCAACTCAGTAAACCATCTGATGAGGAACCCGTCTATGCCACTGTTAACAAACCTAGACAAGCTCCTGCTAGCGAGAACGTGGAGGATTTGTACTCTAACAAAACTAAGGAGCCCCTTTATTCTGACGCGGAACCTCTATACTCTGAACCAGAACCTCTATACTCTGAACCATTGCCCCTGTGTGTGGAACCAGATCACATAGAAGATGAAGCTGAGAGTGCGTACGCGGACCTGGAGTTTGTTAAAAAAGGAAGAGCTGCTGAAAAACTCCAGATTCATGGTTCACTCATGAAGAAGGTTGAGAATAGTGAAGCGACATACGCTACCATCACAGAGTTCAAAAAGATAGAGGGAGAGGAGGAGGAGGACGGAGAGGAGTTTTGGTAACAGTGACATTGGAGGGACTTGAGTTTAGATCATAGTGACAGTTGGGAGATTTCTTATGATTGTGCCATTAGAACATGATCGGTGTGATTTGGACGGTTTATGTTGAATCCAATTATAATTTGGATCGGTCTTTGTTTTTTTAATCGAATATTATCTTTTAAAAGTTGATATTTCAATTTTTGTTTAAATGTATTTTAATTTTTTAATCGTTTTGAGTGTCTATAAATCTAATAAAGGGAACCTGATGTTAAATATTTCACCAACACATTTTCCTGATATTTTGCTATGAATTTTAAGAAAATATTAATTGATCGTATCATTTCTGCAGAACATCAGACTTGAAGCCCAAGAGTGTGAAAATAACGGCACTGCTACTAACAACTACAGTTGTAAAATAAAAGTAACTCACCCCTATAGCAGCCTTGAACTTGTCACAGAAAATACCAAACACTCTTAAACACTCTTGTAGGGAGTAATTCTTCTTGTCCAGAACAAAGAACTTAATGTACTTGGCCTCCAAACCGTTTATTTCATCTATACCTTTCTTGGCTGTATCACAAAATTCAGTCGCTTCCTGAGTTCAAGGAATTTTAATTTCATTTCAATATAAACATTGTTTTAAACAACAGATAGTTCTGGAGATGCATACTTAATAATTGCTGATTTAAAACGGGTGTATTTTCTGGAGTTGACTCAATGAGAAACTGGTTAAATCATCAATACAAACACCCACATTACCAAAATTAAAATAGAGAAGAAAATTGAAAATGCTCAAAAATAACTTCGCAAACCTTTATGATATCCGAGAATTTGTCTATAGAAGCTTGGTCCAGTTTCTTCATTCTTCCTTTGATATCTTCCAGCACTTTTTTCAGTTCTCGGTGTTCCTTCTCATTTTCAGCGTTGTCAATTCTGAAAAATAAACAGTTCTTTATATTATCTATTTTCCTTGGAAGCATCATAAATCAGCACAATTGAAGCAGCAGAGGATGCGAAACAGTTCTTATCATCTATTTTCCTTGGAAGCATCATAAATCAGCACAATTGAAGCAGCAGAGGATGAAGCGTCCAATAAGTCACTCACTTTGCGATCTGGGTGATGTTCTCAAACTTCTTGTAGAAATGAAGCAGCTCAGGTTTGTTCTTCTCTATAGACTCCACCAACACGTGCATCATTGTCATGCGCGGCTTGTTGCTCTTTATTTCGTGCACCTTAGTCAGGAGCGACAGCTTGAAACCTGCTGCATTTCCCGCGTATCCCCCGGTGTTGATGAAGTTACCAACCACCAGCATGATGTGCAGCAGTTCTTTTACTTCAGCAGACTCAAGAATGGCTGAAATATTTCAACTATTTACGTAGGATCGACAAAACTAAAATATATAAATCATTGAAAACCGCATAAGTGAAAAAGGAGTAAGTAACTAAGTTATGTTGATTAGGGGGATATTATGCATGCAAGATTTGTTTATCAATTACGTTGTAAGTTATTTGAGCCTTTCATTAAGAATTGAAACAAGTCCTTCATATTATGGAGCCAGGGTGTGGACTGGCTACATCTGGTTAGATCATTTCATCTCATAATTACACAATACTGAAATACAACAAATTTACAATAAGTTATGTTAATTACCATTTCCAGCTTTGAGACAGTCATCAATTCTCTTTCCCAGAACATCAGTGAGCGGTTTGAACTCGTAGCTGAATTTCATGCAATCGAGTCTCAGGGCGTACCTTAATAATTTTATCTATCAGAGAGAAGTCGCTCAAAAGTTTTATTTATTTCTTGGCAATCTAGGGGCGCGGAGACTGTCCCTCGTTCAGCCTCAGGGTCCTCAGCATTGGAATTTGTAAATTTGAACTTGTAAATAAACCTGGAAACCAGCAAATATCTGGTTTTAAGATTGAGGACTTAACAACTACCACGAGCTTTACTTCAAGATGAGAACTTACTCTGGGACCTTGAGTAGAGTAACGTAGAATCGCTCAGCCTCCGCCAGTAAAGCGGGATCCCCACTGTAACCGTTCATAGCCTTAATGTCTTCTTTGTCAGGGAGGATCTTTAGTAGACCAGCCACCTGGTCATTGTTCAGCTTGTTTGTATCACATCCCGTTATCGCCACTCCGATGTCGGGGAACGGCCTGAAGCAGCAAGAAATTAAAAGTTAGTCAGTCTTGATATATCATCTTAGAAACTATTCAAACTTTTCAATGGATAGATTCTACTTTCTCAAATTGTCTCATCGAAGTATCGGCACAGCGGTAGTCGGTACTATTTACTTACATCCGCAAGTTTTTGGTGATGAGGTTTATGCCGAGAGAATTTTTAGGATCAATGAGGGATATGAGAACAGGTCCCTTCTTCTTGGGTTCCTCTTTTTTCTCAGTTCCTTTCGCTTTCTTTTCTGGCTGAGCAAACATTTCCTCCAATTGATCAAAGTCTATAAGATTGATATCTAAAGGAGTATTAGCATACGTCTCCCATAGGTTTCCTGATGACTTCTTTAGTTCCCCTACTTTAATTTTCTCCCAAGCAACAAGTCTCATTTTCTTAGCAGGTTTACGGGCGACGACAGGAGGGGGGCCACCATTAGCTTTGGGAGCGCCAGGAGCACCAGGAGCTCTTGGTGCACCAGGGGGTCTAGGAGCACCAGGGGGTCTAGGAGCACCAGGGGGAGCAGGAGGTGCACCTGGAGCTCTCGGCGCTCTAGGTGCACCAGGCGCTGGAGGTGCACCTGGGGCTCTTGGTGCTGGTGGAGCACCTGGGGCTCTTGGTGCTGGTGGAGCACCTGGGGCTCTTGGTGCTGGAGGTGCTGGTGGAGCACCTGGGGCTCTTGGTGCTGGAGGAGCTGGTGGAGCACCTGGGGCTCTTGGTGCTGGAGGAGCTGGTGGGGCACCTGGGGCTCTTGGTGCTGGAGGAGCTCTTGGTGCAGGAGGGGCAGGCGGTGCACCTGGGGCTCTTGGTGCTGGAGGAGCTCTTGGTGCAGGAGGGGCGGGCGGTGCACCTGGGGCTCTTGGTGCTGGAGGAGCTTTTGGTGCAGGAGGGGCGGGCGGTGCACCAGGAACTGGTGGAGCAGGAGGCGCTCTGGGAGCAGGAGGGGCGGGCGGTGCACCAGGAACTCGTGGTGCTGGAGGTGCTCTAGGTGCTGGAGGCGCTCTAGGTGCCGGAGGGGCAGGCGGCGCACCAGGCACTGGAGGGGCCGGCGGCGCTTTAGGCGCAGGTGGTGCGTTTGGTGTCCTTTGTAAGCTGTCTGGTATTACATAACTTTGACCGTTTATTGAGTTCTTACATTTATGACATATTTCTGAAGTGGGTTTAATCTCAGGAGGTTCTGGCAAAACCTCAGTCTGCACTGAAACGTCTGAATAAAGTTTTGGTTCAGTACCGACTGACCGATTACTGGTTTCTATCTGAATATTCATGTTAGAGTCTAGTTGCTCTGCATTTAAAATAGCCCGATTAGTGAGTTGCTCTAGACACTGCCAGGTTGCAGTGAAGTGTTTACTGTCTGGTTCTATAACCATCAGGTTCTGTAGAGTTGTGATGAGATTCTCGCATTCCGGCAGATTGCACATCTGAAAATATAAATCGTTTAAACCTTTAACATTATTGAAGATCAGTTCAGTTGAAGGTTCACAGAATATAATTCAGGGTTCATCACACAATTTTAAGAGTTCATATCTGGCTGAACCCTGGCCGGTTCAGCCAAATATTAAAATTTTCCTGCGTCAAGATAGTGGAGAAATTGCCAATATTTCCGTTTCCTGATTGTACCCTACACTCACAAAAGTTTTCTGCGGTGGATGATTTACACACAAAAAGTGGAAATGAAAACTTAAAGTTAAAATCAAGATGAACCTTAGAGAATATCTGAGAGAAGAGAAACTCAGGACTGTCCATGTCCACGTCTGAAGCACAGTCCTCGTCCTCCTGGCCATCCTGAGCGATGTGGTCAAGATACGTATCTAGCTGGATCAGCAGGTCATCATCTGTTTCCTTGCATCTCAACTGCTCCACCAGCTCTGGCAACTGAATCGCTGAGGACAGATGTTTGTTAGTTTAACAGGGATCGGGGAGCTAGTGTTTTTATGGTAAATTAGGGTAAATTAGGGTAAATTAGGGTAAATTGGGGTAAATTAGGGTAGATTTGGATATTATTGTTAAAACTAGACGATACAGATGTTTAAAAAGTAGATAATCGGTAAAGGATTCTAACCCTATCAAGTAAGAAGGTGGATAGAGATTAAAGAAAATTATAGAGATAAAAGAAAATGATGTTTACTGAGATTAAAGGAAATTATAGATGTTGAGAACTGACATTGGAAGTAGAAGTTGTAGAGGTAAGTAGATATCATCCCTCGCTTATAACCCATCGGGAGAGTTGTTCAATAAATACAAACTACACATGTATAATATTATATTGCACGGAAAATGTGATAAGCTCACACTTCTGATATGGAGCTTGTACTTGTCGTGCAGCCAAAAAGTGGGATCAATTTTATACGGAACATATCCGTCTCCGTCAGAGTTTAATCTGAATCAGCGGTAACAAATTTTAGAAAACACGCGAAGTTTAATTGAGCATATCAAAATATCAGCAGTATTATTAGGCCTTGTTAATGATACTATTACTATAGGTTCTAGAAACTATTACTAGGTGGTTCTAGAAACATTTAATTGATACGAGATAATAATCATGTTAATAATATTCAGCTGATAAATTAGTATACTATAATTCTACCATACTCAGGATCATCAACACCATAAATTGGTGGTTAAACGAAAATTCCGCCATATTTTCCGCTCCATAATTTACCCAGCCGTTTATCTAAACTATAATTTAAACTTGACGAAATTTCCCCGGCAACGGGGACATAGAAGAAAAAACACCGAAAATCGACCTCAAAATGACCCTCTGGTGAAATCAAACCCAGCTCGCAAATGGAGTTGAAACCTCGCCATTTTTAGCAGGGTTGTAGAAAAAGGATAGGAATAGGCTATAGCATTCTTAGAATTTTGATTTAGGATTTAGATTTTTTATAATTAACGTCGGAAGTGAGGTTAAATAATCGTTAGAATAATGGCGTTATTTTAGCAAAGGTTTACTGCGCTGTTGCGTAGCAACGATAAAAATGCACGTGCGCGAGCAAGAACATCTTAACTACGCGCGTTGTTATGCTGTATGCTACGTCATAACTTCAAAACTATATAGCTCACATTTACGCTCACGCTATGACTTATATTCATAACTTTGGTTGTGATTGGTATTTTTTGATGCGGTAAAAAGTATCGTTTTGGGAATCCGAATACTAACAACGCTGTCGCCATTGGTAAATAAATTCCATTATGTCTACTGTATAACAGAGCTGTATGATGAAGAGAAATTAAAACATAACTGATTTTTAAAATTTCCTCGAACAAAGCTTTCGACTAGCGGGTTTCTAGTTAATAATATTGCCGAGTAAAGCACTACTACTGCACTGGTGAGTAGTAGTACTCTAGTAGCAGGGAGTAGTTGAGTGTGCACTTCAATGTACACGATTTCTGACGACACAGGCTCCTTCGTTAGGTCACTCTGACCTAAAATCGTTTAGGTACGCAATTTGTATCGCTAGAGACAACCCTACAGGGCACCTTTTTTCAATTACCCTCAGTCGCGTATATGGGATTCTTGTATTTTGGCTGCTGAAGGTCATAGAGACTTCATTTTTAGCTTAAAACAACCGGAAAAGCCACATTTATATACAAGTTATGAACATAAGGTCTCCAGTAATTTAGAAAATGGGCCCTGTAAGGTTGTCTCTAGCGATATAAATTAAGCACCTAAACGATTTTGGGTCAGAATGACCTAACGAAGCTGAGCCTGTGTCGTCAGAAATCGTGTACATCGAAGTGCACACTCAACTACGCCCTGCTACTAGAGTACTACTACTGATGAGTAAAGTACTACTGACGATGAGTAAAGTACTACTGATGATGAGTAAAGTACTACTACTGATGAGTAAAGTACTACTACTGATGAGTAAAGTACTACTGATGATGAGTAAAGTACTACTACTGATGATGAGTAAAGTACTACTGATGATGAGTAAAGTACTACTGGTGATGAGTAAAGTACTACTGATGATGAGTAAAGTACTGATGATGAGTAAAGTATTACTACTGATGATGAGTAAAGTACTACTGATGATGAGTAAAGTACTACTACTACTGATGAGTAAAGTACTACTGATGATGAGTAAAGTACTACTGGTGATGATGAGTTAAGTACTACTGATGATGAGTAAAGTACTACTGATGATGAGTAAAGTACTACTGATGATGAGTAAAGTACTACTGATGATGAGTAAAGTACTACTGATGATGAGTAAAGTACTACTGATGATGAGTAAAGTACTACTGATGATGATGATGAGTAAAGTACTACTGATGATGAGTAAAGTACTACTGATGATGAGTAAAGTACTACTACTGATGATGAGTAAAGTACTACTGATGATGAGTAAAGTACTACTGATGATGAGTAAAGTACTACTGATGATGAGTAACGTACTACTGATGATGAGTAAAGTACTACTGATGATTAGTAAAGTAATACTGATGATGAGTAAAGTACTACTGATGGTGAGTAAAGTACTACTGATGATGAGTAAAGTACTACTGATGATGAGTAAAGTACTACTGGTGAGTAAAGTACTACTGATGATGAGTAAAGTACTACTGATGATGAGTAAAGTACTACTGATGATGAGTAAAGTACTACTGATGATGAGTAAAGTACTACTGATGACGAGTAAAGTACTACTGAGTACTGATGAGTAAAGTACTACTGATGATGAGTAAAGTACTACTGATGATGAGTAAAGTACTACTGACGATGAGTAAAGTACTACTGATGATGAGTAAAGTACTACTGATGATGAGTAAAGTACTACTGATGATGAGTAAAGTACTACTGATGATGAGTAAAGTACTACTGATGATGATGAGTAAAGTACTACTGATGATGAGTAAAGTACTACTGGTGATGAGTAAAGTACTACTGATGATGAGTAAAGTACTGATGATGAGTAAAGTATTACTACTGATGATGAGTAAAGTACTACTGATGATGAGTAAAGTACTACTACTACTGATGAGTAAAGTACTACTGATGATGAGTAAAGTATTACTACTGATGATGAGTAAAGTACTACTGATGATGAGTAAAGTACTACTACTACTGATGAGTAAAGTACTACTGATGATGAGTAAAGTACTACTGATGATGAGTAAAGTACTACTGATGATGATGAGTAAAGTACTACTGATGATGAGTAAAGTACTACTGATGATGAGTAAAGTACTACTGATGATGAGTAAAGTACTACTGATGATGAGTAAAGTACTACTGATGATGAGTAAAGTACTACTACTGATGATGAGTAAAGTACTACTGATGATGAGTAAAGTACTACTGATGATGAGTAAAGTACTACTGGTGAGTAAAGTACTACTGATGATGAGTAAAGTACTACTGATGATGAGTAAAGTACTACTGATGATGAGTAAAGTACTACTGATGATGAGTAAAGTACTACTGATGATGAGTAAAGTACTACTGATGATGATGATGAGTAAAGTACTACTGATGATGAGTAAAGTACTACTGATGATGAGTAAAGTACTACTGATGATGAGTAAAGTACTACTGATGATGAGTAAAGTACTACTGATGATGAGTAAAGTACTACTGATGACGAGTAAAGTACTACTGAGTACTGATGAGTAAAGTACTACTGATGATGAGTAAAGTACTACTGATGATGAGTAAAGTACTACTGATGAGTAAAGTACTACTGATGATGAGTAAAGTACTACTGATGATGAGTAAAGTACTACTGATGATGAGTAAAGTACTACTGATGATGAGTAAAGTACTACTGATGATGAGTAAAGTACTACTACTGATGAGTAAAGTATTACTACTGATGAGTAAAGTACTACTGATGATGAGTAAAGTACTACTACTGATGATGAGTAAAGTACTACTGATGATGAGTAAAGTACTACTGGTGATGAGTAAAGTACTACTGATGATGAGTAAAGTACTGATGATGAGTAAAGTATTACTACTGATGATGAGTAAAGTACTACTGATGATGAGTAAAGTATTACTACTGATGATGAGTAAAGTACTACTGATGATGAGTAAAGTACTACTGATGATGATGAGTTAAGTACTACTGATGATGAGTAAAGTACTACTGATGATGAGTAAAGTACTACTGATGATGAGTAAAGTACTACTGATGATGAGTAAAGTACTACTGATGATGAGTAAAGTACTACTGATGATGAGTAAAGTACTACTGATGATGATGATGAGTAAAGTACTACTGATGATGAGTAAAGTACTACTACTGATGATGAGTAAAGTACTACTGATGATGAGTAAAGTACTACTGATGATGATGATGAGTAAAGTACTACTGATGATGAGTAAAGTACTACTGATGATGAGTAAAGTACTACTACTGATGATGAGTAAAGTACTACTGATGATGAGTAAAGTACTACTGATGATGAGTAAAGTACTACTGATGATGAGTAACGTACTACTGATGATGAGTAAAGTACTACTGATGATTAGTAAAGTAATACTGATGATGAGTAAAGTACTACTGATGGTGAGTAAAGTACTACTGATGATGAGTAAAGTACTACTGATGATGAGTAAAGTACTACTGGTGAGTAAAGTACTACTGATGATGAGTAAAGTACTACTGATGATGAGTAAAGTACTACTGATGATGAGTAAAGTACTACTGATGATAAGTAAAGTACTACTGATGATGAGTAAAGTACTACTGAGTACTGATGAGTAAAGTACTACTGATGATGAGTAAAGTACTACTGATGATGAGTAAAGTACTACTGATGAGTAAAGTACTACTGATGATGAGTAAAGTACTACTGATGATGAGTAAAGTACTACTGATGATGAGTAAAGTACTACTGATGATGAGTAAAGTACTACTGGTGAGTAAAGTACTACTGATGATGAGTAAAGTACTACTGATGATGAGTAAAGTACTGATGATGAGTAAAGTACTACTGATGATGAGTTAAGTACTACTGATGATGAGTAAAGTACTACTGAGTACTGATGAGTAAAGTACTACTGATGATGAGTAAAGTACTACTGATGAGTAAATTACTACTGATGTTGAAATAACTCACGAGATGTATCAGTCCAGCTGAGCACGTGTTTTATAATGTTGTTTAACATCTACAAAACCCCACTAGTAGCAGCCTGTCTATCTACACCACTGTGCTTATCTAACCACACAATACAGCAGAGGGCAATCCTTGGTATGAAGTGATCCAGGTGAAGAAGAGACTGAGTTAAGAGAAACAGAATTGAAAAACGATGATCCAAATGAAGGGCCGAGGTCTCAGGTCCATTCTTTGTGGATGCCCATATTAGGTATTATTGCTGGTCAGGAAATTGCGCCTTTTGATCGCGTGAAGTACTGTACTGAAGTACGAAAATAGGTGCCTTTGCAGTACACTCTAATGTTTTGTATCTAGCCATACAGTAAGACATCTAAAATTACCATTCAGAGCAAGATTTCCCATCGGAAAATACGACTAGTCAGAAGGGTAGACACAGAGGAAATAGGATACGTATTACTTGCTTCATAATGACACATAATTATAAGACGTGTACACTGATCCTGACGGAACTGATCAATATTAGGAACAAACAGTCTTGTTTCGCGCCAAATTAGGGTTAGGGTAGTGGTTGGATTAGGTTCAGGAGGTTTTAAATCTCGTAATATTGAGCGTGAGTCGGTAACTTTTGGCAAGGAGCAGAACGGTTCTCAACGAAACAAGGCAAATAACTGGGTATGCAATCGACGGTTCTGCACTTATTGGCCTTCAACTTAAATTTTAAAGTTAAAGCTTAAAGGTCAATAGGTGCCGAAATTTCGATTGCATTTTCTTATTCTATGTACTCGTTCATACCATGCGAGGGGCATCATCCTTGTAAGTTTGAGGTGGAGGGGGAAGTTAAACATGAGTCGTGCCACTGGTGACTGGTGGTTGATTTTAAAAATCCCAAACTTACGTTTACTACGTCGTCTCCATCTGAACTTGCAAAGCACACAAAACCGAAACTTCATCGATAATCCATGTATAGAATGGTTACGAAGACAGAACAAATGATACAAGATAGTCTGTGATACTAAACATGTACATTGAGTGTCCTAGATCATGTACTATGTGTAAAGATAAGGTTGCTATCTGGTATTTACTATGTGATGATGTATGCATTATTAGTACTGTGTCATCGTAATTTGATACGGATGTGATTTTAGCACCATTATTTAGACCATAGATAGACGGCAAGTAAACAGTAAACACGTTACTCATGAATGTATTTCGTGGTTTGAGTTATTTTTTACTATTTTCCATAATTTTTTGTTCGTAAGTTTTAAGGATTTAATTCGTAAAAAATCAGTATATAAGTAATACAAAACTGATTCTGAGTGCAAAGACCCAATAAAAAGGTTTTAAAAGATTGAAAAAAAGTCCAGAAACTTATTAACTGCAGAGGCAACATGTAGGTGCGGTAATATTTTGCAAATTGTGCGATTCCGCCTAGATTTTTATATGCGGCAAATTTGGAGACCAAAACACCGCCAAAGGATGTTTTACAATGAGTTTTCTGACAATACAAAAAGGGGAAATCTATAGAATTACCCTCATAGAAGTTTTTGCGATTAGATGGACAGGATTACTGCGGGCTAGTTGAGCTAATCGTGAGCATAATGGAGGCAGATTATTCCATATTGTAACTTTACAACATTAGATTCTAACTCATTGTGGAATGTGTGTATAAACTACATATTATAAAAATATCTTTATCTTAAAAGTTCTAACTATAACTATAATATATCTAATCGTGACTCAAAAGTTCCTCAATGTCAATCTCATAAGGGCTACGGAAAAGTGCGGTAATAGGACAATAATGCGATTCCGCACCCTCCACACTTACATATCGCCTCTGATTAACTGAAGTTAAAAACAAATTGCACTGTAATGGAAAGGTTAGACATCTTAAACATATCATACCAAATTCCAATGTTGAACTGTGAAAAAAAGCTCCAGGAAAAATGCAACGTTCGTAAATGTAGCTCTGTTGTGCAGAATACCATAAAGGGTTAAAATGTTTTTGAGATTGCATTTAAAAACAAAAGGTGATGAAAACACTAATATAGTACCCTCCCCTCCCACGAGAGTGAAGATAGTAAACAGTCCAACCTTTTCGTCCGGGTTTAAAATTTCTACCATCTTACCAATTTAATGTTAAGTTTGACTGTATATGATACAAATAAACAATCGCGAAAACATGATTTACTAAAATAATATAACTTACTAAAATAGTATAATTTAACAAAGTAACTTACTAGATAGTTGGTTTCTGATGCTGTTCCTCTCATCCCTAGTATCCGTACTGACGAGGATAGTATTGATGAAAGCCATGATGGTTGCACTGTAGTCCGGTATTTCCGAGAGCTTTAGCTCACTCACAAGCAGGTTGTATCTGTTCTTCAGCCCCTTCTGGTTCTGAAACACGTGACGTCTTAACACGTGACGTCTTAACTGTTTTCATAGTACATTATTCTACTGGAGCATATTTCTAATTTTCCAATTACCACCTTCTATCTACGATGTATTCTACAATTAACTCGCTTTATAAGGTGTGGTAAAAGCCAGGGCCGTAGCCAGGGCCGTAGCCAGGGTTTTTTCCTTTGATTCCTAGCTGCTAGCAAATTTTGTGTTCAATTTTTGGATTTAAACTTTTGAAAAAAAGCTAAACCAGGAATGACATAAAGAAAAATGGTAGTTGTTTTAACATTAACTTTGAAACCCATATGGCAAATCCCCGGAAATTTTATCGATAAATGAGTTCTTAGGAATGTTAGTTATCAATCAGAAATGGTGTTATAGCAGGTTAATTTATAGCTTATAACTTTATAATGCCAATATTATATGTGGGGGACAGTTATATATGGGGAACAGGAACTGAAGCCCCAGTAATGTTGTTGATTAAAATTCTGGAATGAAATCTAGTAAATAGAATATTCGACAACAGCAGCAAGTTGCTTAGATGCCAAATTTATGGCCAAGGAGGCGTAGCCCCCCGGAGTGGGCTTTCAGTAATATAATTTATCGATAAGAAATGATAATTGTAGGATGTTTCATTATAAACGGGGCTGTAATGCCAATACCAATATGGCAAAACACCAGAGATGAATCTAGCTACGAAAAAAAGTATTACGATCGCAGCAAGCTGTAAAGCTGTAAAGCCTGAGAGAGTGAATAGAGAAGGAAGAGTATACATTTTTAGGAAAAATGTTTTCAGGAATGAAATCTTTCAATAAGAAGTTTAAAGTTTAAAAATTCTATCTTTATATTTTTATGGGGGATTCGTGAATTCCTATAATCCCCCTGGCCCGTGCCTGGTAAAACAGGCCTTCAAGGAAAAGATAACTTTCTAGGACATTTTTATTATAAACAGAACAAGAATTATGTAGATGATTGTCAACAGAGTACATCTCTAAGTTTAACAAATTGCTAATATTCATACTTTTTGATATTGTCTACAGCTTCTCAGATTATCATGGAGCATGAATAAAATCATAGCATTGCTTAAAGCCATGGTTTATTCTCAAGAAACAAAACTCAACTACGCTGACACGTCATTAACAAAGTTAAATCGAGAGAGAACCGACACAAATAACTTTCTGTTGGTCTATCTATGGGCTTATTATTAACTATTTCCTCCTGATTACAAATGCGTGTAAAAGTAAAGCAGGAAGGGTTTACCTTGGCTATCTGCAGCGCCTCCAAAGCCATGTCATAGCCCCTCTGGGAGTTGTAACACAGAGCACTGAGCAGCTCAAATATCTGCTTCTTTACCATGACGTTCTTAGTGGTAAGAGCTGTGGGGTGTTAGTGGTCAGAGAGGGGGGCGGGTTTGTAGTGGTGGGTATTTATAGAACACCAGGGATCTCTACAATTATATGGGTAGACTGGTAAGTTTTGTAAATTTTGCGGAGTTAGTGCACTTGCTGCAGATATGTTGGTTGGTCTATACTTGGTCAGATTATGCATAAACACTCGCCCTACAGGCTCCAGCTTATGGACCACGATCTCGGCCTGCAACACAACAATTGGACCAAAGTCCAAACTCTACTGGACTCATATTTTTACAGATTAAGCATGATAATTCCAAATAACTGAGTCAAGAACAAACGGTTACACAGTTTTAATTGCAAATATCTGCTAATGAAGAAGCAATATTATTTAACTAAGATAATGAGGGTAAGTGCGAGAGAAGGAATTCACTTTCAATCTGAAATTTCAAATGACATCACAAGAAATACAATAACATTATTCCGTAAAAAATGCACGTGCAAGTAGACCAAATATCAAGTCTTGTAATGCAACTGTGGGCGGCATGTGTTTATATGAGTGTACTAAGGAGGGTTGACGTTTCCCTGTCCTAGTGAGCGGTTGTAGGCTAATTTACAGTTACAAATACACGTCTTATTATCGGAAACATTGTCTGACATATTAGCAGACATTATAGCGGGATTAATCATTATTATAAACACAATACGTAGTGACGTCATAGGGTCTAGTGACGTCATAGTGCCTTAGTGGTACCCTAACGTACCGTGAGTGAACTGTAGTCGTCATAGTAACGTACCGTGAGTGAACTGTGGTCGTCATAGTAACGTACCGTGAGTGAATTGTAGTCGTCATAGTAACGTACCGTGAGTGAATTGTAGTCGTCATAGTAACGTACCGTAAGTGAACTGTAATCGTCATAGTAACGTACCGTGAGTGAATTGTAGTCGTCATAGTAAGTGTAACGTACCGTGAGTGAACTGTGGTCGTCATTGTAACGTACCGTGAGTGAACTGTGGTCGTCATAGTAACGTACCGTGAGTGAACTGTAGTCGTCATAGTAACGTACCGTGAGTGAACTGTAGTCTTCATAGTAACGTACCGTGAGTGAACTGTAGTCGTCATAGTAACGTACCGTGAGTGAACTGTGGTTGTCATAGTAACGTACCGTGAGTGAACTGTAGTCGTCATAGTAACGTACCGTGAGTGAACTGTAGTCGTCATAGTAACGTACCGTGAGTGAACTGTAATCGTCATAGTAACGTACCATGAGTGAACTGTAGTCGTCATAGTAACGTACCGTGAGTGAACTGTAGTCGTCATAGTAACGTACCGTGAGTGAACTGTAGTCGTCATAGTAACGTACCGTGAGTGAACTGTAGTCGTCATAGTAACGTACCGTGAGTGAACTGTAGTCGTCATAGTAACGTACCGTGAGTGAACTGTAGTCGTCATAGTAACGTACCGTGAGTGAACTGTAGTCGTCATAGTAACGTACCGTGAGTGAACTGTAGTCGACATAGTAACGTACCGTGAGTGAACTGTAGTCGTCATAGTAACGTACCGTGAGTGAACTGTAGTCGTCATAGTAACGTACCGTGAGTGATTATCATGGAGCATGAATAAAATCACAGCATTGCTTAAAGCCATGGTTTATTCTCAAGAAACAAAACTACGCTGACACGTCATTAACAAAGTTAAATCGAGAGAGAACCGACACAAATAACTTTCTGTTGGTCTATCTAGTATCTATGGGCTTATTATTAACTATTTCCTCCTGATTACAAATGCGTGTAAAAGTAAAGCAGGAAGGGTTTACCTTGGCTATTTGCAATGTCTCCAAAGCCATGTCATAGCCCCTCTGGGAGTTATAACACAGAGCACTCAGCAGCTCAAATATCTGCTTCTTTACCATGAAGTTCTTAGTGGTGTACTGTGGTCGACATAGTAACGTACCGTGAGTGAACTGTAATCGTCATAGTAACGTACCGTGAGTGAACTGTAGTCGTCATAGTAACGTACCGTGAGTGAACTGTAATCGTCATAGTAACGTACCGTGAGTGAACTGTAGTCGTCATAGTAACGTACCGTGAGTGAACTGTAGTCGTCATAGTAACGTACCGTGAGTGAACTGTAGTCGTCATAGTAACGTACCGTGAGTGAACTGTAGTCGTCATAGTAACGTACCGTGAGTGAACTGTAGTCGTCATAGTAACGTACCGTGAGTGAGCTGTAGTCGTCATAGTAACGTACCGTGAGTGAACTGTAGTCGTCATAGTAACGTACCGTGAGTGAACTGTAGTCGTCATAGTAAGTGTAACGTACCAAGAGTGAACTGTGGTCGTCATAGTAACGTACCGTGTGTGTGCTGAAATCGTCATAGTAACGTACCATGTGCGAATTTGGCGATGTATTCCTCCCTCTCCAAGAAGAACTCGAGTCCTGTTTTGCTGTTGAGAACTGTCTTTATTAGAGATACACACTCAAGTTGCACCATGGCGTCGGAAATCCGGAAATTCTGAACATCATGTTCATTAAACCAGATGGAACACATTTGAATAAAAATCGTCATTTGTTGACGGTTTAAAATATTCGCTCCCATTCTATAGGTGTATTATAGGTAGCGATGTATAGGTAGGAGCGATGTACAAACGAAACAAGGAGACAAGCAATGTTTCACAAAATAGTTTATGACGCGAAAATTAAAGTTGGCTTGTCTTGGTGTTTGTAACACAAGTTTACAAGTTAAACTTATTCTAAGTTAAACCCAGCATTTTGATTGGGAACTGTCTTACACATTACCTTTTGCTTTGCAAGAGTATGCAAAGTGTCGAATATAACAGAGAGTCCGTCACATTCAAGAAAAGAGAACAGCCACATCTTATCAACCGTCTTGAACCTTGTCTTAGCCGCTACATACGTCTTACAACTGGGGGGGTAGTGGTTCATGTAGGGGAGTTATTCTGTAAACAGTGTAGGAACTATAAGGTGGGGTCCAGGAGAGGGGAGGCGACAAGCACTTATAATATCTACTGCAGTAGATAGGAGAAGGAGAAAGTTTAACAGGTGGAGCCGAGGCTGGTATAGGAAACGTCATGTCGAATAAGGGAGAAAGGAGAGAGAGTGGCATTCTGGGTGCAAGCATAGTACAGGGATGTACGCCATCAACTTTCTGGACCTAACTAGACGGTATCTATCAGGCATCTGCTGCACGTGGTACGTTAGATACCATCTAATTCTTAGCCACTGAAGGGGTTGAGAGAGGGGAGCATTGTTCAGTCGCTGGAGTTGAGGGGGTGGGGTGGACGGTGGGGGTAGTGGAGTTAAGGGGTGGGGTGGGCAGTGGGGGTAGTGGTAAGTGGGGTTTAGCCGTTAAAGTGTCATAGAATTATTTTATATAACTCCAATTTCAACCTATTTGACGGCCACTTATATTTTTTTTATAATCGCACTGGTTTTTGTCGTTTTTTTCAGGGAGTGCGATTACGAAACTAATCGCACTGTTTTGAGAGCATTACAACCAAAAATTGCTCTATTTCCAAGCAACTGTTAAATGTACCAAAACAAACAATCAATTTCCATAACGGGCCCGTAACAAAAGAAAAAAACAGCGGCTGGTCAGTGGTCACACTATATATAAGCCTCAAAGGGTCTCAGAGCAGTGGATAGGTTGGCACGTGATCTGCATCTGTCAAGATGATTCGTTCTTGTGACTCGCATGCGGTGGTCACAACAGTTAACCCACCCCTTTACTTTTAGCCCTAGCAAGTGGCTCTTCATTGACTTCGGTTATATCGGGCCCGCAACAAAAGAAAAAACAGAAGCTGGTCACACTAAGCCTCATAGAGTCTCAGAGCAGTGAATAAGTTGGTGCGTGAGCCATGACATGATACGTTTTCGCTTTTTTTATTTATTGACATTATATTATATTTATTGAGCTATATTATAACGCTCTTGCAACTGAAGAACTAATGTAAACTTATGTTAGCGTATGGGCAGCAAATTGTGAAGCACGATATTATATTATAGTACCTTTTAGAAAATCAGTGCGATTAGTTTTGTAATCGCACTCCTTGTCCGGTCACAAGTTTCATTTAGGAGGAAAAACCTGGAGGAGGAAAAACCTGGAGGAGGAAAAACCGACAAAAATCCATCAAAGACGTGGAGTTATACACGAATGTAACTGCGTGTATAATACGATTACACCAGTTATTGCACTCGGATGCGCCTTGTGAAATAACTGCAATAATCGAACTAGGCTTCGCCTCGTGCGATTATTGTATCGATGTGCGCACGGCTGCGCCTCGTGCAATTATTTTAATAGTGTCTGCATCGTATTGCACGCAGTTAGATTAGCGTATATAATTCACTTATACGAAGATCTAGTTAGATGTAAAAACTTACGTAGGGTGATTCTTGATGAGGTCTATGAGTTTCTCTGGAGTTGAATCGTGCATTGCTTGTACAATACTGTCACTACTATCCGTCCTCACTAGTCCGGAATCTTTGGCTCCTTTCAGCGCTCTGCCCCATCTTCCTAGATTCTTCGGTACTTTCTGTAACAGAACACATTGTTAGATTACAAACACGATATAGATTTTCAGTTACTTACGCTTTTTGGAGTATTTCTTAGAGACAAAATTTTCTGTTTCAGGCTCTGCGCGGCTTTTCCTCATTTTGTGACGCGCGCAATTATTATTAATTCTACGTAGTCCGAGTAGCAGTTACACAATAGCAGTTCAGTTTTATCAATATACAACTTTTAAAATACTGAAAATTGTTTCACACCTTTTTTAGAATACTGTCAGTTGAAGAGAGGCCACCTACCCTTTAATAATCAGTGAGTATGTTTCTGAGTCGTTACAGTTAATTAAAAAGGGGGTCGTGTTAAATTAAAGATGTACGAAAAGAGTACCTTTGTTGAAAAGGGGTCGTGTTAAATTAAAGATGTACGAAAAGAGTACCTTTGTTGACGATCTCCTCACAGCATGCTGATAAGATTGAAACTGATTTAAGATACCATCATGCAGATCATGTTTACTGTCCAGTCCCCTGTTAACATGCGAATAAAGTGCTGGAATGTTCCCGATAGAATGTGGTGAACACGTGATATTATCTGACAGTGCATCCCAAAATTCCTCATCAGCCCCATCTGTACACACATTCTCAACAAGAACCAGGTCCCCATCCCTACACACATCCCCAACTCGAGGCACCCTCCCATCTGCACACACTGTATCTTCTAGCAGCAAGCTCCGGTCATCTGTACGCGCTGTATTTTCTAGCAGCAAGCTGTGTATATTATCCCTCAATAGTTCCAGCTCGGTCGTTATCAGGAACTTAGCTGATACCCCACTGTTGTACCGGGTCATCACGTCTACAATATAACAGAACGCAGCTTGGATAAAGTAAGCTGGGTACACCAGGCCGGCTAGGAAGATATTCCTTAATAAGACTATAAGAATAGTCGTTATAAACAGCAAACAACAGGAAGCAACGGAAGCCCAGCGAGACGACATATTGTACTGTCACAATGTGTGCACTAACAGCCTCCTTATGCTGATCCACCGCTTGTAAAATTCAAAAACAGTACGACAAGCTTGTTGAGACACTTGATATGTGAACTAAATGAGTTGACATTCAACATTGTGTTCTGTGAGCTTCATAGTTATAGGCCGTTAACGTGGAAGGTAGTGTTTAAACTAACACAACCAAGGTGGGGAGAGTTAACAATGGTTGAAGGGCGGAATATTTTATTTGTTTTGTGAAAATATTTGTGACACTATTGTGATCGTAAGACAGATATATTCACATTTTTTTAGCCGCAGTTTATTTTTCACAGTTTACGCTGTTAGAAGATTATGAGTGAAAGCAGAGGACGTATGCAGTGAGACGTATGCAGCGAGAATCTGACATGATTTGGTGTGATACTCCACAATAGATCAGAGTATTCAGTTAATTAGTTCCACTGCACTCTTACTTCAGAGTTTACGACATTACATGATCACTAATAAAATATTATGCATTATTGTCTATACTAATGCCGGACGCCGGTACTACATTAGAAGGTCTAGAGGTTCATGTGCAGTCTGACACACTGGATACCTAACATACCGACTCAATTCTGTGGAAATGCGCTACCAAAAGGTACAGTCGGGGATGGAAACAGTTCCAACTGGTCAGAATCAATTTGAACACTATCCAGCCAGAAGGTACACTCGGGTAGAATCAGTTGGGGCATGGACCAGGCGCAGTTGGGGCAATGATGGGGCAATGATTGGGGCACGGTACTCAGGGCACGGTTGGGGACTGGGGTATTATAGTCGGGGCATCAACCTAGTGTCAGTTAGGGCTCAGTCGAGCATATTTTGTGAGCACAAAGTCAGAAATTTAAACGTTTTGATGGGAATTGCAAAAAGATCTGATAGAGCGAATGGCAGCCGATGGTTCGAACAAGTGTGGCATTATGTTAATAATAATAGTGCGATTTCGCACCCATGACCCACTGCACCTATGTGCTGTCTCTGCTTACGTGTCCTTAAACATGGTCAGGACTGTAAAACAAAAGAACAAAGAAGAACAGCAGCAATCAAGTGAGAAAGTGTAGTAATAAAAATAAGCGTAGTAGGAGGAGGGCGGGCCACATCGGGCCCGCGGAGGAGGATCTCATTCCAATTGTACGACAAACTCCACAGATGTGAAACTAGGCACTGTTACACACACAAGGGTCTTGTAAAGCCGGGGTTGTTGGAGACAAAGAAATAAAGAGGACTAGAAGCTTGGTACTCTCTCTCTCTCTCGTGGTACATTAACGCAGCGTAAATACTAAAATGTAGTAGTTCTGCGAGTGTAATTTCATAATTGCTGCGTAGTCCAGATCACAAGCATCACAAGAAATAGCACCCTGCTTTTAGCAGATCACAAGCATCATAAGGAATAGCACCCTGCTTTTAGCAGATAGCACCCTGCTTAACAAGACCCAGGTGGTGCAATGATTTACAGTAGGGCTACAATTCTCTAGTATAATGATATAGTAGAACCACTATTCTCTAGAACAATAATTTACAGAAGGGCCACTATTTCTGATATAATGATATAGTTGGGCCATTATATTTATGCTGATGCTCCTCAGTGCTGTAATCTTGGATTGACTGCAACAAAAAGTTGTCATTAAAAGCCGCTGAAAATCAGTCTGGAGTTCCGTAACCTTGGCATTTAAGGGTGCTCGGTGGAGGAGCCTACTCCATTTGATATGTTGCAAAATTTATAATTGAATATTCGTAGTGTTTTTCGAGGCTTCAAATTTGACTTTCGCTTTCAATTATTTTCAACATCTTCGAACCATCTCAGGAATTCGGTGCTTTAAACATTTCCGAAACAAGATTCATCTCACTTTCATTTTTAAAATTTGAAGATGAAGTGTTCAGAGGTAACATATAAGTGTGGTGGGTGCGGAATGAGGAATCGTACTTTAGCCTACTACTGAATCTTTTCGTACCATCGGCCGTTATTCGTTCTGTCAGATTTGTGTATCAAGGTGGATCGCTCAACAGATTGAAATTGAGTCACTTTAATCACACTAACATATAGTTTGCAGGCGCCAAGTATGTTAGCTTATGTGCATAATGTGTTGTAAAGTTATAATACTAAATACTCTGCCTCAATTATGCTCATCTCCTGCTCAACTATAGCCCCAGGTAAGGAAAGTCAGTGTCAACCTTGTAAGCTAAGCCATTTGTTGTGTTAAATTCAACAATCGTGTAATGCAACGCTTTATACTACGCTACTGAATAATCCAACATGACAAGATCTAAAAGCTGTTCAGCTCGATTGCGGTGTTTTTCTTTCAAAATTTTCCGCACGTACAAAGTTTTAGTATCAAGGCAGGTGCAGAACCGCACTATTTGCAAAATATTACCGCCCCTCATGTTGCCTCTGAAAGTGTCCGTAAACGATGGGAGGCAAGTAACGTGTTTAAAACTTTTCATACAAAAAAACACCATTATATTTCTATTAATGAACATTTTTCACAATAAACTAACGTGTCCTCATAGAATTAAGAGTTAATATAATACTAATAGAGTTATACGATAGAGTTATGTATAATAGAGGTAAGCCCCACATTCCTGATAGAAATGTTGAACTTACCTCGACCATTCTATTCACCATCCAACGGGTCCTCCCTACAACTCCCATGTATATCGCTATAATAGCACACGTGTACCACTATAGCAACAAGTGCATCACTATAGCAACAATTGTATCGGTATAGCAACAATTGTATCACTATAGCAACAAGTGTAGCAACAATTGTATCACTATAGCATTTAAGAGTAGATTTGTTTCATCGAATTTCATGTTCATCAAATGTTCATGTTATCTAACTAGCTAGAAAATCTAATTGGGTACTAAACAAGTTTTGAGGGGTAAGCCTTACTTACTTAAGGATATAAATGACCGGCTACATTTCCATATTTAACACCAGTACTTCATGCTTCGTCATTAAATCAAGATTAGAGACAAATGGTCACGAACGCATCAATGTATACAAATATATATTATATACAAAAGTTAAAAGCGTACGGGGTAATAGCAACCAATTCCAGAAAACTCCAAACAACGTACGTGAATTTCCAAAGAGACTGAGGGAATAGGGGGCGGGTATTTCTATAGCATTTAAGAGTAGATTTGCTTCATCGAATTTCATGTTCATTTTTCACAGTAAACTAACGCGTCCTCATAGAATTAAGAGTTAATATAATATAGTTAATATAATAGAGTTATATATAACAGAGGTAAGCCCCACATTCCTGATAGAAATGTTGAACTTACCTCGACCATTCTATTCACCATCCAACGGGTCCTCCCTACAACTCCCATGTATATCGCTATAATAGCACACGTGTATCATTATAGCAACACGTGCATCACTATAGCAACACGTGCATCATTATAGCAACAAGTGCATCACTATAGCAACAATTGTATCGTTATAGCAACTTGTTTATTACAGCCATACTTACCAAATTGTGAACCATATTTATTTTGACACGTGGTAGTGATTCTGGGTTATGACTGGTCAATACTGGATACTGATCATGTCACATTAACCAGATCTTAAGTTTTTCAATAAAAATTAAGTTATATTAAGTTAACTAATAATTAAGAGCTTAGAACTAAATAAAGGGTAAACGTGGCAAACCTAAAAGTAGTCGTTCTACGAACATGTCAAATCGATTAAAAAACAATGCAATAACGTAAAGTTATATTGACAGAATTTCGCCTAAAGTAAGTTAAGTAAAGTAACGTAATATCAAAAAATTCATTCATATGTATTTAGATATTTCAGAATGTGATACTAATATGATATTCATGGCCTCTTTACTAGTACGATCTACAGCGAAACATAATAAATTGAGGACGTATTTTCTTGTTTGGTTGGTATAATCGCTGGCGTTAGACTTGATCCTTCGGTTTCCTGTAAGTGCTGGTTACATGCCGTGACTATAAAGCCATGGTTGTCCGAAGTAAAGCATAAGGGTGGTAATTTCACTTG